CGTGTGACCATGGGGATGCTGCAACGGTCATAAGTCTGAAAACCAGTCATAAGTCACTTTTTCAGTGCTGTTGTAACTTTGAACAGCCACCACATGAACTATTGTAAGTTGAGGTTTACCTGTATTGTCGAAGATATGAAGAAAGACTTCTTCGGAACAGAGTTTCCAACAAAGGCTGTTATATTTGTAAACTCTCACTTCATTTGATATGTCACTTTCATGCTATATTAAATCACCATGGCACAACTCCCATCCTTTATGCCCACCTATTAAAACTACCACTCTTTTTCCTCCTCTGGTTTTCCTATCAAGCAGTACTATGGCACCTTGCTTTGTGGGAGTTCCACTAAATTTAACGTTTTCTTTTATGTAATATAAAATAGGTTTGAGGCACGATAGCCAAATATTTGTTGGTACTGTATATTCCCTTTCTACTTCTGGAAGAGTCCTTTCTCATGCTATTATTGAAAGACAGTATTTGAAGATGGGTGCTTGAGGGAGTCTTCCTTGCTTTGAAGCTGCTTCTCTCTGAAGATCCTTTCATAAATTACGTGAAAGGGAATGTAAAGTCAATCTTGGGAAGAAATGAACAAGCCTTTAAAGGTTGTGTGGGAGTAAGGAAATTATGGAAAAGGTCACACATTCCTGTAAAAGAGGCAAGCTTGAGAAAAAAAATGCTAAAAAAACCTGCTTTAATTTTGTTTAGTTTGAGCTGAAACATAGAGAAACCTGAACATGTTTTCAAGATTCTGTTAGTCTACCTTGTTGCAAAAAAAATAGCACCAGAGTCGGGGTGGCGCAGTGGATAGAATGCAGTATTGCAGGCTAATTCTGCCAGCTGCCAGCAGTTTGATTCTCACCGGTTCAAGGTTGACTCAGTCTTCCATCTTCCCAAGGTTGGTAAAATGAAGACCCAGATTGTTGGGGACAATATTGTGATTCGGTGCCTGTTTCTTGAACTGGCCTATTTCAAAGAGCTGATGCTACATTAAAAAAACAACAACACAAATCTAGATCTTTATTTCCCACAATGTTCTACCTCTTAACTATTGCTGTTTTCTGCTATACATGAATACTAAAAGTGACAAAACTGTGAGAGAAATCCAGTGTTAAATATTATTATGGCTTGTCACACAATCAGCCATATGTATAATTAGATTGGATTTGGCATTTTCATCTACTTATCCAGGCCAAGGACTTGGGGGTAGGCAAATATTATTTGATGATGTTAAAGGTATTGTTTGATACCCATTTGCCAAGTAACATTGGGCAGCTGACATTAAAAAAAATACAGATTTTTAAGAATCTCCCCCCCCTAAAAAAAAGAAAAAATATCAAAAAGCCACCTATCGCATCAAGTGCTCTCCTTCTCTAACAAATAATCCAAAGGAAGTACAAGCAAACATTATCAAAAAAAAAATGTTGAGGTTGGGAGAAAAGGTGAAAGAAATTATGTTGATAGGAAAGTTATTGTTGATTGTTTATCTTTCTGAGCTGCTTGTCTCCCTCAAAGAGAGATTCTGGGCAGTGTACAATAAAATGTTAAGATATAAAACAGTTTATATAAAAGTAAATATTTAGGAGGAGGCAAGAGGCATTGAATACTTTTTAAATTAATTAAAATGCGAAGAGAGGGCTTTCAGGGGACTAACCAGCTCGACATGAGGCTGCAGAGTCACGTTTTTTATTAGTTTATCAAAGCATAAAAGACAAAAAGACAAGGAAAAATGAAAATAAAGGTAAAATAGGGGAGAAAAAGGGAAAGAGAGAAAAGTGTAGGATAGAGGGGAAAAAGAAAAAAAAAGCATTGACTTCCAATTCCAAAGCAGTAGAATAAGGTAATAATATGAAACTTCAGCTTTTTACTTTTATATAATAATATATAATATCCATTTCTGTAACACCAAACCTATCTAATCAGCAAAACCCCAAATCAAAGTTTCATTTTTTCCACCTCAATCATGAAATCCAAAAGCGGTTTATGAGTAGAAACAAAATTAATTGTGTTCTTTATGCAAAGCAGTCAGTTTAAGCCATCTTTGCTAACTACCTCCATCAACTTTTGCAGCCATTCGTCCACTGTGAGGATCTAAGTGTCCTTCCATTTTTGTGCATAAAGTAATCTTGCTGCCGTCAACATATATAACATCAGTTATGATGCTTGAACTCATTTTTGAAAGACTAGGAGAGTGAGGAGCTGCCTAACCTCTGAAAGATAAATATTGCAGAGGGCAGGAGCAATGGCAGAGAAGGGGCTCTTTCTAGACCAGACATGTCAAACACAAGACCCGGGGGCTGGATGTGGCCCACAAAGCCATCCTGGAAACAGTGAGGGAACGGCCCCTGCTTCCTTGGCCCTGGCCCAGGCTGGCCGGGAGCCAATGTACAATTTTGTGGTGGCCATCTATGCTGAAATGCATTCAGTCTTAGCTCCACAAGACCGTCTGAAAACAGCGAGGAACCAGCCCCTGCCGCGTTGGCCCCACCCCCTGGGTGCATGCTGGGGAAGTGTCCCCCTTTATGAGGAATGAAGAAATGCACCATCGCCTGGAAGTGGCCAGCAAATGGCCCTCGCCTACTTCACATATCCGGCATGATGGGCTCTGACCTGGTCCCACCCCTTTCTGCCAGAGACCCTCAGATCTGTCCCACTCCTGCCCAGGCCCCCACAGGCTTCCTTGCCGTGAATGATGTAGAGCTGACCATGCCCACCTAGTAGGCCACACCCACTCCATCCATGCCCACCCAGTAAGCCGCACCCACCCGGCCCCCAGAGGGCAACTACAATGCTGATGAAACTCAATAAAATTGAGTTTGACACCCCTGTTCTAGACCCTGCTAGTCAGGGTTCTTTGACTGATGTGTCTGTAATTCCTGCCTGACTGGGTGAGATGGGCTGATGCAATGAGACAAAGATTCTTATAGATTTTTCCATGGCACTTAACAATGAGCTAGCCAGATCCACAGGTGAGAAGTTTCTCAAGCTCTAACCATGGTGAGGCAACACTAATTTCTGCAAATGTGCACATGTGGGATTATTCGAAAAATATCTTTGATTGTGTGATATGAGACTTTTTCTGATTGGCAAGTAACATACAGCTGTGTAAATACAAGGTCTGCTCTGGAAAATCGTCTCGTTCTCCAAATATAGCCCTAAAACATTATTATGTGAACGGGTGTGCATGACTGAGTCAATACTATTGCTGAAAGTTAAGCCTACATGTCTGAAAGCATGCTGCATTTTATTTTAATGATTCTGGATGAACATGGCCCCATTCTGGTCTGATACCCAGTTACTCAATTGCTATTTTTGTTCAAGTGAATCTCTTTAAGCTTTAAGGAATTCCATTCAAGCGCTGCTCTGTAATTTTATTATAGTAATTTGTTTTAGGGATATGGAAACTAAATTATCCCCATTCTTTTATAGACTCCAGGGGACCTCATTCCCATTCTGACTTTTACATAGCAAACCTCCCTTTCTTTTTCATTTTAGTGAGAAGTTGGTTTTATACCAATAAAAATTGCCAGCATGGTCCCTTCAGTTCAGTTTTGGGCTAAAGTTGAAATGCGGATTAAAATCTTCATTTTCTTCACACTAAGCTGCCAACGTGGACTGAGTATTGACATTGGTTGTTTGCAAGAAAAAGTAATCTGCACCTAAGACAAAGCTGTTAGAGAAATATTGTTTGCAAGTTTGGCATTGCAGTGTCTATATTATATACAGTAAACTTCTCTGGTGACACTTAGATTTTGAAACTTCTACTTAAAGAGTCTTTTCTTTGGTGAGAAGATCTTGTTTAGGTTGTTTAGGTTGTGCTATGAGAAATTTCTTTTGAGCTATGCTATTAATTTTTATATGAATTTTAGCACTATTGTATTTATTTCTTATAAATGATTGGGTATAAATGGATAAAGAAATAGCAAAAGTAATCTGAAATTGCAGAAAGGGTTATATGCAGAAGTTTTATATTTGTCCATTGTCTACTTCACAGAAGAGCAAAACTTAATAATAGAGGGGTTTTTTTTACTACTCGAATTAGCATAAGAATTCCAAGGCTATCTTTCTTCTCAAGAGAAAAAGACCAAAAGATCTTTAAAAAATAAAGGAATCAATAGTGCAGTAGTGCCAGTTCTTCAGTTTCCAAATAAAAAACTGCTCTGGTAGTTGTAGGTGTGAGAGAAATAAAGAGCACAAAACTTTATATTGATAAATTACGGATTAATTTGTTCTGAAGCACAGAGCCAAAATTCTCTATTGGGGCAAATCAAAACAAGTTGAACAATGCAAAATTATTATAATTATTATTATAATACTGCCATCAGCCAGAATATAATTCATTTCCTATTATATACTCCTACATGGAATTAGGCTGATAGACCCGACATTTTAAGTCATTTTAACAATATTATGATCCATTCTTGCACCATAACATCACTTATTTGTCATTTAGACAAAGGTCCTTACAGGACATTAGTTTCAGTCTGATTTTATATTTAATTATTTTCTTTAGAACAGTTTGTCCTATGATGGATTACAATCTTGGATCACAGTAGAATGTTCCATTTACATATTTGGGTCATAATGATAGAGCAGAAAGGATCAAAACCTATTTACTGTAAATGGCTACAGGCTTTTCTTTTACTCCATGCTACTGAATCTGGGTGTACTGCACCCTTTAAAATCTAAAATGCATTCTCTGACTCTTTTAACAAAAGTATTTGATATGGTTTCCCTCTCTATACTGTCCAGGTTCCATTAATTCTCCATTTGTGATGCAAATTTAGCAGAACTTGCGCATTAAATAATATCCAAATTATTATTGTTATCCTAAATGCTGAATGACATTTGAGCCAATTGAATAAAACCTAGATATAGTGGCCTGTAACTTCACAAAATAGAAATATATTAAATGATAAGAATAACATTTAACTTTGTAATGATGATGGATAAAAACCAATTACTCTGACAATTTTCCCCAATGTGATTACTCAAAAGCAGAATGTTTCCAGCTATCTTTATTTATTTTGCTAGGTTGTTAAACTAATTAAGTACCGTATGATGAATTAAGTCAAAAGAGTTGTACATCTTCCCACATCAAATCAAAGTGTACCAGATGACAGGAAGGAGAAGATAGATAAAAGCACAACAGTGAAAACATTTAAACACTGAATAGTTCAATTCTGCAATGTAATCATGTGAAAAATTGTCATTATTGAGAAAGATTTGCATCATAAGAAAAGATCATACATTTGATTACATTCACGCTGCTATTCATTTGATAAGCATAAATAGCCCAGAAAAATTATTTCCATGTTATTCTGTTGCTTTTATAGCAGCCTTGGTAGCAACGAGAGGAATAATCCAGTGCTTTACACACTAGTATTTTGCAACGAATATAAACTGTGGAATAGCTGTTGCGCAATGTGAAGGATTTAAATCTAAAGCTGATGCTTCTCCTGTTCCTTGAAGAAAAAAGTTGGTATGTACTATCCATTTTGCATCTGAAAGAAATGGAACAAAGAAAGATGTTATTTTTTGATAGAACCTGCACAAATACAATTTCACTGTATTAAACTAGCAATAGAGTGCTCCAGTGAATATCATGCTTGAGAGTATTTGTTCAGAGATTTACTATTTGCAAATAGTTACATATTTGCAAATAGATTGCTAGTCAACCAATTCTGATAATAAAAAAACACAAGAATGATAAGAGGAAGATTTTAAAATGAACAAATTTGAAAAACCATATATATATTCCTTACTTTCTCAATCATTCCCTTCAATCTATTTGTTCTTCTTTCATGTATTTTTTGTGGTTCAATCCCATTCATTTTCATATGAACAACAACCTGTATTTAGCAATTACAGTTATCTACCTTGTCAAAATTGTGAAATTTGGTGCATTTGATGATCAGGAAAGGTTTTCACAAGAGAGACTTGGAAACAGAATTAGAGACTAAAGATAACTGGTATATAACAGAAAGATTAAGAGCATGTTGGCAAAAATAATGGGAGGGTGGGATGGGATCCAATAACAGATAGCAAATGAGCCAGTCAAATCTAAGTAGAACATAGAGTATTAAGTTAAGTTATGTTTGGTGTTAAGAAACAGAAGGAAATGGATCCAAATTTGCTGGGCTGTAACTTATCTAACCCTAGTAATCATGACCCTTGGCTGGCTGGTTTGGTAAGTATCAGGTTGAGAAAAGCTGATTCAGAGGCATTAAAAGAAAGCTTCCAGAAGAGTATTCTAGAGATGCAGATAAAGTGAAGACAAAATTTATCTACATAGGATAGAGAGGCAAAAAAAGTAATGATTCTGTGAAGAAATACTGATTTGTTAGCCTTACCCTTTATTTATCATGATATAAGTTTCAGTTTTGAAGTCGTAACGGTTTGGGGATGCCACACAAGAGTCCATGAATAATATTTGATTTCTATTAAAGCTGTGGAGCGTGGCTTGGATAAATGCATTCTGGTTCAGGTTCATAAAGTAACCCATGTTATTTATTGGCTGTGTAAAGAAAGGTGACTCATAAAATAAAAACTCCATATGAAATTTTGGCCCTTGATTTGGGCATTCAAATTCATCAATGTTGTGGGTGACTTCCATATTTCTGCTGGGCTCCATTTTGCAGGTGAATTGAAACTGAGGATTTACGCCATTCCCAGAGCTGCTCACAATATTGGTGAAAGTGCTTATCTTCCCATTATTCTGTTAAAACATCAAGCAAAATATATAAATGCAACCGTTTTTAAAATATTTGATGTTCATCTATGATTTAGTAGGAAGAATTGCTGTACTAACCCTCTATTCTCCTGAGAGAGGAACTAAAGACTTAGATAACTTCAATGGTTTCACAAATATTGAAATACTTCCCTCCCTATAGTTCTTTTAAGGTAAAAATATCAGGAATGAGAGACAAAGAGCACAGGAATCTTCAAACTGCATAGCAAAGTCTCTGCACAGGAACTATTGTAAACCAGAAAGTCTTTATTCAAATTTAAAAAATGAAAATATTCAAAAACTGTTTTAAAACTAAGGTCTTAGGAAAGACTGAAGAATCTCCCACCCTCTCCCACTTGCTTTTTTTGCAGGTGCTATGATAGCAGGCGCATTGGCAAGGCTCGTTCTTCTGAGAAAGATAGGCCATTTAACTGCTTGTACATTTTTTTTTAGTTTTTATTTTTCCTTTTTTCCACTATACAACAAAAATAAAACTGAAAAAATACATTTTTTCCCTTAACACAGTGGTTCTCAACCTTTCTAATGCCGCGACCCCATAATACAGTTCCCCATGTTGTGGTGACCCCCAACCACTTATACATCACCGGATGCCAGGGGCGTGGCCAAAGAAAAGGGGAAAAAATGGCGGACAGCCTTGTTTGGCGACCCCTGTGAAATGGTCGTTCGACCCCAAATGGGGTCTCGACCCACAGGTTGAGAACCGCTGCCTTAACAAAACTGTCTTATACATCTCATATATATTATTTACAATTTATTTACATCAGTAATCATGTCTTTTTCTTTCTTTGTTCTAGCCAATCATAACATTTGTTCCATATTTCATAAAATTCTGTTGCCTCCTTGTCTTTTAATTCTAGCATAAGTTTATTCACTTCCACGCATTCAAGAATTTTGTATATAATCATATCGTTTGTAGGTATGTTTTTACCCTTCCAACACTGAGCATATACTATATGGGCTGTTGTCAATGTATGTATAATGATGTGCTGGAGTTGCTTTTTGATCTTTAAATTTATTATACCCAGAAGAAATAGTTCAGGTTTGAATTAAATTTGCATCTTAGTTATCTCCTGTATCCAGTTCCCTATCCATTCCCAATAGCTCTTTGCTTTAGGGCACAGCCACCACATGTGACAGAATGTTCCTTCCTTATTTTTACATTTCCAGCATTCCGGATTCATATTTATACATTTTGGCCAATCTCGCCGGTGTTAAATCCCATCTATAGAACATTTTGTATTGATTTTCCCTATATGCAGTTGACAATGTCAGTTTGCAATTTATGTTCCATAGTCTTTCCCATTCTTCCAGATTTATATTTCGGCCCACATTTCTCGCCCATGCTATCATTGGCCCTTTCACTATTTCTTCCTCCAGATCTACCTCTAATAAATATTTATAGGTTTTTGTTAAAAAAAATTCCTTTCTTAACTGTTAAACTTTTATCCAATTGATATGGGGTCTGGCTTATTCCGTGCTCTTCCATATCCTTACTACGTTTAGATTGGATCTGTAAATATAGCCACCAATCTCTGATTATTCCTTGTTCTTCTAATTTTTCTCTTGATTTAATGTTTCCTTGGCTTCTAATAGTTCTTTGTATCTAATCATCTTTTTCTTATCTAAGGTGTTAGGGTGAATCATCTGCTTGTACATTTTTTTAAAGACTGACAAATGGTGTATTATCATTTCTGCATTTATAGTACAGCTGTAAGAAATGTAACAGCAACCCACTTTCTCTGGCATTTTCATGTAATGATGTGCCTTTCTAGGTAAAGAAATAATAAGCTTTCAAATGTAATCAGGATTTAGGAAATGATAAAATTCATTGGCTAGCTACATATGTTCATAGTAGAGAGTGCATCGCATCACTCCAGTCACCATTATCTACATATGGAAAGAAACTATGACAATGTCTAATACTCAGATAGCCAGAAAGTCCATCGTGTCTCGGAATTGCTTTTGAATTTTTCTAAAGCAGGAGTTGAAGTCCACATATTTTAAAGTTGCCAAGTCTGAAAAACACTGCTCTAAAGCAATTCAAAGGCACATGATTAAATCCAATGCCTTGATCTGATTGAATATCAGATCATTTGGAGTGTGTGAAAAGCCATGTATACTTATATTCGGAAAGGGACACTGAATACTGTACTGTATTTTCAAACCATAGAATTATTTTTTTAAAAAAAAGAATCACAGAATTTCTTTTCAAGAGGCAAAATTCTATGATGGCTGCATTTCAATAAGTATTTTTCTTTTGCCCTTAATCTCTCACCAAACCCATCAAGGTCTTACAGAACCCATTTTAAAAATTCCAGAGCTAGACTATTTATAATGAAGGCAAATAGATTATTTAGACTCATCTACCTTGATTAAGAGGAAATTTCACTCACCTAAAGACATTTATCACATCACTTAGGGCTAGATAATTTATTACTGGGTTAACTGGGTCCACTTAATCTAATTTTGTTATTGTTGGTTCTGGCCATTTGGTATAAAGTGTTTTAATATCCACTAATTTAGGTGATCAAATATTGGTTAACATCTCCAAATAAGAATTAGTTACAGCATCTCCTTAAGCACAATTTATTGCAGGAAAAAAATTGACACTTTAAATTTTTGAGATTTTTTTTTCATCCTTAAACCTTCTAAAATAACAATCATTCCATTATAGAGAATGATTATCATATCTGTCATATTATCAGATACTTACTTCCCGTTTGGTTCCACAACCATCATATGGTATATAGAATGTAAACTTATCTTCTGAAATGTCAGGTGTACAGGTAGCATCACTTATGTACAAATTACAGTCAAGGCAGCCCTTTGAAATGAGATATTGTCTCCCAATAACTGCCTTCATGTATTCCGTATAGCAAGAAAGTGTTACTGTACAGTGAGAAAGGAAATGTATTGTCAGTAAAAAGAAGAAAATATATAAAATTGTAACCAGGTTTCTTTGTAAATGCAGGTATTATTGATTTAGCATTAGTTAAATAACAATTCTTATGGTACTTTCAGTAATATTTTTCACTCTATATTTCCATATTAGTCAGCAATAAGTTCATAATGTTTTACTATTATAATTATTTATTAGATCCTTTCAAAATTGTTTGGTATGATTGCACACATTAATACCAGGGTCTTATTAGCTACAATGCTCCAGGTGATTCAGTTGCAGCATCCTAAGTAATAAGTTGCTGGCTTTGTTTCTTCCTATGTTCCCATCAGTTATGTTTTTGCCACAATCACTTTAATCAGTAATTAAATGTTTGAAATCTTCTCTACCCTTCACCATGACCTTAAGCAGCAGTGAATTGGAGGGAACATTTCTGTCTAATACACCACACACCTTGTGGACATGGATATTTGTGGTGGTTTCCAACAGAACTCCCTTTTTACGACCGTGTAATCCCTACTCGAGATAGAGTCGGGGTGGAGATGGAGCATTTACTAGCTGGATGCCCTTCCTGACACCTATATGGAGTTCACAAAAGATTTTTTTTTCTTTGTGTCCTAGGAGAGAAACATCTGCCACTACCTAGGATTGAAGTCTCAGCCTTCTGAGAGGAAGGAAAGCACCTTCCATGCCACTCATTTTGCTACTGAATATAATTATCTGAATTTTTATGTAATGCCATAGGCCCATGAAAATGTTTAATGAAGTAACTGAACAACAATAAAAATTACCAAAATCTGTGGTATCATCTGGAAGAGCTATGAAAGAAAAAAAAATAATATGATTAAGGCATCTTTTACAAATTAGCTTGTAGAAGTAACTTAGAACTATTCTTCAAATACAAAGCAGCTAACCCTTGGAAAATAACCAGGCTTACTTGATGCTATGACTAGAAACCAAGCAACAATCAAGCAGTGGCCCCATGACTGGTTAAATAAATCATGGCATGTGTATTTGGCTAGGATTCCAAACAGATATTGCAATGAAAGTTAATGGTGTAACAACTGGGCCTATAACCTTACAGTCTGCTTATTCTAGGACTGAGAGAAAGAGTATGAACAATATTGTCTGAGATATCCATATTCAGTTTATTTATTTATTTATTTATTTATGAGACTTATATACCGCTTTAAGTGCGAGCACTCTCTAAGCGGTGTACACCAGTAAGCAATGTATATATATATTTACATTGCTCCCAACAATCTGGGTCCTCATTTTACCTACCCCGGAAGGATGGAAGGCTGAGTCAACCTTGAGCCGGTGAGATTTGAACCGCTGACCTGCTGAACACAGTCAGCTAAAGTGGCCTGCAGTACTGCACTCTAACTGCTGCGCCACCTCGGCTCATATACAGTTACTGTATTGCTAGTTCAAACATTATATAATATGTACAAAGAAGCATTAGCCTTTTATTCATTAGGAACATTAAACAAAACAAGCTTGTGTAGAGGAAGCAAGATTGCAGCTGGAAAGCAAACTGAATACTGTATGTTAGAGATCTAAGGAGTATATGGTGTATGTTAAATAGAAGAGATCGGGAGGTTCAAATGAGGGAGATACAAAATCTTGAAATTTGAAGTCTTAAGAAATTCAATTCAGGATCCTTTTAAAAAATCATCATGAAAACAATAATTTATAGGATGTGATTATTCTCTAGAAAACATTAGTTTTCCAGAACCTGTATAAGGAATACCAATTATGAGAATTCAAACTTCTTTACCAATCAATAAAATGAGTTTCCTAAAGCCTATCTTGGAATACCAACAACTATAAGGTTCCTACATGGCTATTTGCTGGTTGTTTTGCAATATAACTTTCCCACAATTTTATTTATTCGATTAACATGGGAATATCTGGATTGGATTTTGTATGCTGTCAGATGGAGAGTGAGTTATCCCTTGGAAAATACAATATCTGGTTTGGAGATATCCCCAAATTGGGGAAGGAATCAGGAGCAATCAGGAAAAGAAAACAATATAGATTTTTTTGGGGGGGGGGTATTTAAAATACATTTCTGCAGCATGCCAGAAACTGGTCCACACAAACAAGTGAAACCCCATTTGCAGGAAGCAGGCAGCACGTGAAACCATGCCCCCACTGGTCTGCAGAAAAACATCTTTCCACAGAACCCTTTCCACAGTCCCTGCTGCCCAAAAGGTTGGGAGCTGTTGTTTTAAGGGATACTTTGTAAGTGCACTGAGTTTAAAAACATGTTTAAAATAAACAAAGCTATTTTGATCCTGAGCTCTGATCTATCAACAGATACAGATTTATTTGACATATACTAATTTGTGGAACAAGGTATAATAACAATAATCACATGCATATATGTATGTTTTATGTATCACAAAAACATTGCTTACTGGCTATCGTGGCCACTGTGGTCGTTGGTGGTGGTGGTGGTGGTAAGGCTGTTGAAAAAAAATATTTGCAACACTATTATTCCATATTTTAATTTACAGCGTTTTATTACCAGGTTTTCCTAAATTGTACTCTTCTGCAATGTTTGCAGAGTCATCATTAAGCTATCTCAGAGAATTGGGAGATACTATGTTTAAGGAGATGTAATTTGTTGTTTTAAAATATAAAACCCGTCTTAAAGTTCAGCTGGAGGGAAAATGAAATGCAAACTGATGACTAGAGGCAAAAGTAATTGTCTTCTTCCATGACCACAAATCTACCATTTAGACATACTAAACTACATGTAGGTAGGGGTATGAACTGCTCTGAAATGATCAAGATTGCAGTATTTTTTTTTTCCTCTGTCAGCTGCCAACCTAGGCACATACGCATCTGCAGAGAAAGGGAGAAACAGGAGGAGATTAAATTTCTTTAGAAGCACCTGAAGGCTGGCAAGCAGGGTTCAGAGGTCAGAGCAGCAGAGACAAGAGAGGGAGTTTTCTTCTAGGTTTGGTGCGAGATGCTGCTGGAGTGAGAGGTGACTTGACAAGTTATAGAGCAGAGGACTGCAAGAGCCTGAATTCCATTTGTTTCAATTCAGCAATTCAGCTAACTAGTCATTGAAAAAATATTTAATGTTTGTGATAGTGGACAACTAGACTAGAGCATCTTCACAGGGAGGGGCCATTCTGGGCCAGAAAAGTATTAAAAATACTTTGATCATGTCCAAAGCAAGTTCTAAGGATATTCTGGAATCCTTTGTCAAAATCAGATTTGGAAGTTTCATTCTATCATTTAGGAAGAGCCTTGCTGTAGGTCCTCCTCCTTGTGAAATTAATTCAATTTGTACATTGCCTGCTTCCCAACTATGGGAGCTCAGAAGAAAGCAGAAGGACAAACAAATAATAAAAACAACATGGCAATGACTTCCCCCAGCCCCCCCCCAAAGATGGAATAATTGGGCAACAACAAGCACCCATCCACTTTGTACCTTTGTTTTTATTTCTATACTCTCAACAACTTTATTTTTATATTTGTAGGTACAGATAACATCAATTCATCAAAGGGGTCCACTGTATATTGAAGGGACTCAATGTCAGTGAAATATAATGATTCTTTTAGGAGAGAATGGCAAGAAGTGGAGCAATACCTAAATTACTGGTAATAATATAGAAATTGGACAGGAGAATGATTATCGTGGAGCAGTCTTACTTGGAATTACAGTTTTCCTTGGAGGGACTTCTCGATAGTGTGCAAGGAAGCCTTTTTCACTCACGCTAGAATCACTCATAAATACAATTCTCATTTTGTTTGACGAAGATAGGTATCTCTTTCGCGGACTCCAACAAATTTTTCCAAATGAAGGTGATGTTGAGAAAGGGCCATCAAAGATCTCAACAAAATCAAGGGTGCAGAACCTGGTAATTTCCAGTCTGTGGAGAAAAAGATGAGTAAGTGAATTCTTTCAGAATTACTCGAAACTACTACTGTATCCAGACTTGCATTTTTTTAGTATGTTAAAACTGTCCTTCCTCAACTACTTCCACAGAAATTGTTCCATTAAAACAGAGGTGGACAACCAGACATCCAATAATGCCCTCAGAAACCTCTGAATTCCTTCCTTGTCTTCTTCCAAACCAACAACTTTGCTTCAATTCTGAGGCACAAAATGTGCAAAGTTATTTATGTGAGCCCTAAGACAGATATAGCAGAATTTCAAAAGATGATATATCTAAATTCTTCAGAGGGAAAAAGAAAAAAAAATCATGGTCCACCCACTTTATATTAATTATCTTGCCTTCTTCAGAAAATTAAGCTCCCAGGATGGAAAAGTTGCTCACCACAATATTAAATCTAATGAAAATATACTTTATTTTATTGTATTATATTTTACTTCTAATTCTATGGAAACTCTTTAGGTGATTAACCATAATCATATACCAATAAATAATACAATATATTTATATTCTATAAACTCAGTTATATAAATTTTAAAATAGTAAAATAAAATCATGCAATAATTATAGCACTGATAACAAGCGAAAGGTATTGTTTTATTTTGCATATGTTCTCCCTAACAATTCAGTTTTTCAAAGCCAAAAATGTGGGACCAATCTTATTTGAGAGGCTATATCATGATATATGCCAGTGGTGGCGAACCTAGGCACACATGCCAGAGGTGGCACTCGGGGCCCTTTCTGTGGGCACACGCACCGTCGTCCCAGCCCCACCTCTCCTCGTGGTCCCCTCACCAGCAGCCCCTCCAGAGGAGAGTAACCCCCAGGCACGGGCTGCACAGAGCAGTGCAGCCAAGCACTCCGCCCTCATGCCCTGTCGCGGGCAGATGATGCTGCAGGGCGTGGGCGGAAGGTGTGGCACTGCAGGGCCACTGAGCGATCTGTGGCAGGCCGTGAAGGTGGCAGGTGGCCCTGCAAGACGGGGTGGGTGGGACCGGGCAGGCTGGGGGTGGAGCAGCAGGGCAGGATGGCGGACTGGGTGGTTTTTGGGCACCCAGTCTCTAAAAGGTTCACCATCACTGATATATGCAATACTATAAATAGAAAGCAGAGTCACGTATAAATTTTATGCATCTACTATAATGCAAAAATGCATAATATTCAATCACATTCAAAATTATAATTTGATTAGGCTTAATGAAGTAATAGGCCATTTGAGATCCTGTGTTTTCATGATCAGCATTCCTGGTATAAAGCAAGTACAACTAAATTGTCATTATATTCTGCTTTCAAAGAGGCGTCTCTCAGATCATAAGCAAACAAAGAAAATTACTTCAAATCAGTTATTATTTTCAGAATTTTCAGTTACAATAGATAGAATTTTCTTGTGGAATACACACTATATTCCTTTGCTGTTCTCTAAGGTTCCATTTGTAAGAGCCTCATATATTGAGAACAAAAATGGTTAAGTTAAGCAGAAATTGGACAGAAGGAAAAAAAGTAATGAGGTCCTTTCCATATTTTTTTTTTCAGTCTGAAGTGCTGTAACTTATAGTTGTTTTACAAGATCAGCGAAACCTCTGTATATGAGCAGAGAGCAACATAAATATATATACATTTCCCATTTTATTCTTAGATCTTTGTATTCTTGCAGTCTTAGGATACAATGGATAATAACACATATTTTAGTTTATAGATCACTTGTTTATAGAACAGGGGTAGGCAACCTTGGCTGTTTTATGACTGTGCTGGCTCAGGAATTCTGGGAGTTGAAGTCCACGAGTCATAAAAGAGCCAAGGCTGCCTACCCCTGGGATAGAAGGATCGAGAAAATACCCTGAGTTCTATGGAATAGTTCCCATAAAGCTTTCAAATTTAAAATATGAAATATGTTTAGTTACAACAGTTTGTAACTAAAACAAGAATTTGTGGTAGATTAATAAAATGATTCAACAGCATTTTCATTGATGATCTAGCACATCCTTTATTACCTGAAAACTTCAAATCTTAGTTCTACATGACGTCTTTCCTCCACCTCTATGTCCCAAACACAGTAAGAATTCTTTGGGTAGTTTGAAGGATAGAATGGACTTGTAAATGAACCTGAAGGACCTGTGAATTTGCAGCCATAGAGACATTTGCCTAGAGGGAAACAAATTAATAAAGGCCAGTGAAGAACTTTATTAGTATAGTGTGTGTGTGTGTGTATGTGTGTGTGTGCGCGCGCATGTGTATAATTTTAGTGAAATAAATACACAGAAACTCCAGGAAACAGCACATGCTTACATAGGTCAAATAAAACTATTTATAAAAGCATTCTGGGAAAAAGAAAAAAAATAACTTGAGAGGAAGCAATCTATGTTCTTTGCATCTGGGTCAATAAAAACTCAACTGAAATAAGATGAAAAAAGCAGAATGCTAAAGACAAATCCATTGTGTGCTTTTTAACTTACCTGAGAATGGGTTAGTGAAAAAAAGCAAGAATATATTGTAAATATATTGCCTAAATATGCGAAAGGTTGGAAGTATCCTTGCCTATGTGATTCTATCTTTTACATTTATAAAGATGTTTGAGATACATAAAATTTAAAACTGAAAATAGTACCACCCAATTCATACAGTACATTATTGTCAAACATGAGAGAAATTGTTAAGCAAGGAACTGGACTAGGGGAAACATAACTAAATATGGGATCTATTAGTTTAGATTTATGAGAAGGAAACCTCTATTTATTTTGTAGCTACGGTAAGTATTCTGTGTTTCAAATTTGGTGAGCAATTCCTTTTCAGCCCTTGACATACTAAGGTGGCAGTGTGAATGCCAGATAATAGTAGGCTAACTATGTGTTATCTTGTGGGTTTTTAAAAACTATTATTATTTTAATATGTTAAAAAAAGGAGATGTGGCTTTCAGTGAAGGAAAGGAAAACTACTTAGATCACAATCCTACATGTGTACAGCTGGAGAAAATGTCAATGAATTAGTTTCTGGAAAAAAATTGTTCATAGGTTTTTAATCTTAAGTTACTTAAGTGATCTTAAGTTAATTGATGCTGAAAAGAAACTTCAGCCCGATAACTTACCAGATGGAGTGTGCTTCTGAGTGATAGGAAGAGTTATAGATTTTGATGCTAGAAGAAGGAATACATAAAAACACAGTTGCTTGAATAATGACAAATCTCAAATTTAAGCATCTTACAATTAATATTGCTTTGAATCCTCTGTTCAGTTGAGATTTTGTATTAAGGGATACCTCAGTTATCTTCATTCCACATGCAGCATGTACTGTGATGATGAGAATGTTGGCTGATTTTGGCCAACATCACCCAAAAATTATATTTGTAGTTAGTATTCCATTCCAAAGAGTGTTTGGAACACATGGGAGAAAAGATACTCCAGTTGTCCACAATTATTTGAAGCACCATTTGCTTTAAGAGCTTATTAAGAATTCAAATGCCTAGTGAGCATGACTAATAGCTAGTTGCAATCCAGAAACAACCCTTCTTGTACCATATATAGGGTTGTAACAGTAACCTCTAACCATAAACATTATCCAATTACTCTCATACATCTTCATCCACCCAATATTTCAAAACCCATTTTGCCTTGAGTGATGTTATTTAAACTTTGATTGAAATCTCTTTCTCTTTCTGTTCTTGGAAGTAGGCTAATACTTGAAGGATTGTTTCACTTGATTATCTCTACCTACCCTATTAGGTCTCACAAGCCTTTCACCAGAATAATGCACATACAGAAAAGGCCAGCTGAATTTCCCACATTTTACAATCCCAGGCAAGACTGTTGAACCTTTCCTCCTGCTACTTAAATGCATTTACTGAAGGCTAGAATACATTTAACATATCATCTAGATAGACTGAATAAAAATGGTGGAATGGAGGACGTGCTGAGAAAAATAATGGAGTAGAAATTTTTTATATTTACATGTTAGAGCTTGGAATATTTTGTTTGTTTTGCATGAGGAAAAGAAGTCATCACAGAATGTTCTAATTCTAATTCTAATTGTTCAAAACAATTAATCAGGAGATTGGTAGTCTACTGACCAGGAATAATTGGGTGTGGTGTACTTGCTGCAAGTACAGGTCTAGTAGTTGGATGCTGAGTGGTTAGTGCCCAAACTGGTAATAAATAGAGCAAATATAATTTAACATTAGGACTGAAAATAATTTTAAATGCAAAAAAGGAGGTTATTTTAGGAAGTAAAGCAAAAAACCTTCTAAAATAAAAGAACTTAGAAAAATGCATTTGCTCAAATAAAACATCAGATTAGAGGTTCTACAATGCAACATATCAAAGAAACAAAAAATACATTTGCAGTATAATGCAGAAATCATGTTGATTAGAAAATTATCCAGATATAAATACTTGGGACTTCTGATGTATTTTTTGTGGGAGCTAAAGAAACCAAAAGTAAAGAAATAACTGAGTTTGATAAATGAAGAAAGTAAAGAAAAACAGACACAAGAATCTAGTAATTTAGTTGTTTCTCTACAGAATCACTTTAATTATTCTCAGGAATATTCTGCAAGCCTATCTATTAAAATCAGAAAGTATAGTTTAAAATATATGACTTTTTTTACTTACAGCCTATACAGAGCCTTCACAATGAAACTCTAGTATGCTAATTTTCACAGAGAGGCTCCTAATGGCAGGAATTTAAAAATAATGATTCAGTTTTCAGTGAAAATAAATCTGAGGCATAACACATACGTTTCATAGAACAGATGTCACTGACATTTTTTTATATTACTAAATAACATTATTCAGGAATTTCCGTATTCTCTAATTGTGTTACTAATTTCATGATACATTCTTCTATGCAAAATGAGATCATTTCTCAAATACACTATTTACTGTTTGCAAAGACAACCAATACTTACTAGGTATAATGGGATTCTTTGTTGTAAGGAAAACTGTTTCTATGAAAAAAAAGCAAAAAATACAGAAAGTAAACTCCTCCTCTGAGTAATAGGGAAGTATTCATAATATTTTGCTATGAAGGCTCCTATGAAATCATTTTACACTAACAGCGATGGAGATGGTTACCTGAGCAAATGACCCCAGCGTCTTCCTTGTGGCCACACCGATGAGTTTCCCAGTCTGGATTGGAGCACTCTTCTATAGACGATTCATTCCCTTTGCACTGAACATTTTCTAGGAGGATGTTGCCAGTGCCTTGCCCAAAATAGGCTTCACTGGTGGCCTCCATAACTTCTCCACAGGCAAGTTGTCTGCAAACAACCTTTGCATCTTGTAAGTCCCAACCGTCATCACAGACTGTTCCCCAGTCCCCATTGTAGAAGATTTCAAGTCGACCCTGGCATCTGTTTTTTCCATTCATCAATCTTACAGTCAATGAGCTTGTTGTTGTTACCAGTGCACTTTCTGCAATTGTCAAAAGAATATAAACAGCATTTTTTTCTCCAATGACACATTACAATGACTCTTTGAGGGTTCATTGTAAAAAGGCATATCAGTGTTTCCCAACCTGATTTTTTTTCAGGTAACATTCTGCCTTTGTCTATCTATGTGCATGTGTGTGTGTGTGTGTACAACTCTAACTATTGTGACCTATGTTCCCCTTTAGATAAATGGGATTGAATGGATTTAAGAAGATACATCTTTAGGGCTGGCCACAATTGCTGCCTAATCTACAAATCTTCGGATCATTTACAAATTATTTTGTATATTTGAGAAATAACTTTCAGGTTCTTTCCCCTGAATACCAGAGATGAAAAACTTGTTATTCTTTACATCAACATATAACCAAAGATGACATTTTGAGATTTCCACCTCTTTTCCAATTGGTTTGCCTTGGTTAAATTAAATTAAATGGCCTTGTCTTTGGTTAGAAGCTGTAACAGTTGTGAGAATATCTTTGGGAGGCAGGAGGAAGAGCCGCAGCCCAGAAAACATCTGATAAAAGGAGTCAAAGTCCAAAAAAGGAATGAGGATAGAAAAAGCATCTCAGAAGGGATCCTCCTGAATGCCAGGAGGAGGAGGAGGAAAGATCTTTCAGACTTGTTTGTCTGTTACTGCAGTGGTCCCCAACCTTTCTTGCACCAGGGACCCGTTTCATGGCAGTCAATTGTTCCACAGATTGTGGGGAGGATGGTTTTCTGCACAACTTAGATCAGTGGTTCTCAACCTTTTTAATGCCGCGACCCCCAACTGGTCGTAAGTCAAGGATTACTCAACCGGTCGTAAGTTGAGGACTACTCAACTGGTGCAGCACCGTTTGCAGAATGGGACTTTTGGCGGGCTCAGCAGGGCAGAGACAGCCTGGACAATTCCTATTGGCTTTTGAAAGCCAATAGAATTAGACTCTATTCAAGAGAGTCTATTCTATTGGCTTTCAAAAGCCAATAGAATAAAAGGGAGTAGCACAGCTAAGGAAAAGGGGAAAAAAATGGCGGACTGCATTGTTTGACGACCCCCGTGAAATGGTCGTTTGACCCCAAATGGGGTCCCGACCCACAGGATGAGAACCACTGACTTAGATCATGTTCATGTGCAGATGAAGCTTTGCTCACTCACCTGCCACTCTCGGGGCCCAATTCCTAACAGGCCACGGACTGGTACCAGTCCTCAGCCTGGGGGTTGGAGACCCTTGTGTCACTGTTTTCTTATAATAAGGTAATATTAGTACTATTGATTTTGGTTTCCTGATCTGGACTATCTGAAATGGCTGACAGAAGTGAACAAGTTTATTGCACGCCCCTAATCATTTCTATTTCCACATTACAGATATTACTTCAAAAGAAGTATGAAGACAGAAGCAGAATTACTAATACAGTGCTGCAACACTTAGTAATTATTAAAAACCAGAAGAGGTTTGCAAAGGAAAGGGGATAGAAGCTGAATCTGCCCATCCTGCCATCCTATACCCAATCAAAATGTTTTCTGTTGCTACTGTTTTGTTTTAAATGAAGAGAGAAAAGCTAGAACCCTCCAGATGTTATCTAATGACACTTATGTGCCCTCAGTGACTTCTTTTTCTCTACCAGGCACCCTGTTTCAGTCAAATATAAAAAAACTTTAAAAAAATATTTAATTTGAAATAACGCTTTTTAAAAAGCATTACTTTATTTTTATTTCTAAGAGTGAAAATGGAGTCCCCATTATTCTCCCACACATTATTAGAAAATTATGGAATGCCTACAATCCAAAGCTTTATGTGCAAATGTGCTAATCTCCTGCCCTTAAAGAAAGTAATGTATTTTAAGTGCCACAAGTACTATGGCAGCCAGTCTAGAAATTAGCACCTCCACCATCAAACAGCTATTTTGGATTTTGGACATCCATAATATGTTCATAACACAAAAATGTTCCCATTGCTACAGAAAGTTCAGTTTGGGATGTGCCCTGCATTACATTGCATATTTTCCTATTAACATCTTATTAGTCTTTCTGGTATATTCCTTGGATGTACAGATTTTGGAAGCTCCTTTTCAGTGAAAATAAAGTTGGATGAATATTATTTTTCTCTGTCTTGTTAAAGACGTTGCTGGTTTCTATTTCCCCTTAAATTATGATACAAGGTTTTAAGTAAAAATAGGAATTTAATAAAATACATACTAGGTGCTGATGTGGTGACAGGACCTAAAAATAGAAGAAATAATTTCTGTGGGTGAAGATGACACAATAATGATGAAGATTAATTATGGTGTTATAGTATATTGCCATTATTATTATCATCATAGTTTTTTCTTTTATATTTTCGTATTCTTCTTTACTTTGATATATTGAAGTAAAAGTGTCCCTCTTGTGAAATATGATAAATAAATGAAAAACAAACAAACAAATAAATAAATCTATAATAAATCTAATCTAAAATAAAATAGCAAACCTGGCTTAAAGTGTAGGAACTGATCCCGTTGTTTTTTTGTTTTGAGACTGTAGGTAGTGCTTATTTGCTGACTGCATCTGAGTCTTCCATTTACATTATTAAATTGTGTGGTTGTTGAGCATGACATCACATGATCATGATTTGCATGTCTTCCTGCCTTTTTCATTGACTTTATTGGAAGGTAGCCATGAAGATTGCAAATGGCAATCATATGACTGCAGGACGCTGTGATTGTTGTAAATGCTTACCACTTGCCAAGTGCCCAAATCATGATCACAGAGATGCTGCAAAAACCATACCTTCAAGGACCTATCATAAGTCTCCTTTTTCAGTGCTATTATAATTTGGTTGGTAAGCAAGCACTACCTATAAACCAATCTACTCAAGATGGACAACACAATGCAGCATTCCAAACAAAAAATAGATTAGCAGACATTTGGCTCTTAAAATAAACATAAAGCTCTAGCCACATTGTAACTATGTTTTGTGGGTGAAATTTGATTATGATTTCTATAGCTTTGCCTCATTGAATTCTTTAGAGACATTTCAGAAGACTATGTGAGCTCTGAATATAAAGGCTATATGGGAAAACACGTGAAGAGCATGTGGCTTATAATAAGATTCTTCCATACTGTGGTTGAATAAAAAGAATAATTCCAGATTGTATTTAGCCAGAGATTTTTCTTCCATTATCTACCAGGTCTCACTTTAAATGAATTTACTGAACTATACTGTAATAATTTTATTAAAACTTAAGCAGTTTAGATTACCTGAGCAAATGACCCCAGCATCTTCCTTGTGATGACAGTTATGAACGCCCCAAGGTTTATGAGCGCATTCTTCAAGAGAGGATTCGTTCCCTTTGCACTTCAGCTCATCCAGGAAGATGCTGCCAGTTCCTTCTCCAAACTCAGCCTTAGGTAGGGCTTGGATGGCCTCTCCACAGGCAAGCTGTCTACACACAACTTGTGCGTCATTCATGTCCCAGCCATCGTCACAAATTGTTCCCCAGCTTCCATTGTAAAAGACCTCAATGCGACCACGACATTTGTCTTCTCCATTCACCAGTCTCAGAGATTTTTCTTGAAATGAAAATAAATGCATATTGGAATTTTCACCTCAGATATCTAATTTCTAGAGTTCTTTATTAGTAAACAGAGAGGAATCACCTCTGCTGTTCTGTTTTGTCCATAGAATACATTAATGACAGTCAATTTTATTCAAGTCTGAATATTTTTTTATTTAGTCTTGAACAGAACAAAAGTAGTTCCATAGTATGGTATAAAACCATATGCTATCTCTCTATAGCTCAATTCTATTGCTTGGCAGTTCCAATCAGCATGACCACAGGATTCTCCTTGGTCTAAAGTACTAGAGCTCATATCAACTCCTAACTGATCCTTTGAAGATTGTAAAACCAGAGTAATAATTCTTGTAGTTGAACACATGACTTTTTAAATAGAAGACCCAAGATAACAGGATGATTAGGTCTTTTTTAGAACATAGGTACAGTACGTACAGTACATATTTACATACATAGATCTAGATTAAGCAAGTTTATTTCCCATTTATTTTGATGAGCTCTAAGTTAAATCACAAGTAACTTTTCAATAGGCTTTAATTTCAGGAAAAACACTATGTAATTTCTCATTCACAGAATTTTGCATAGGTCTCAATAGCAAAGTCATTTGTTTAGTCATAGACCTGGATAAAATAACTTCAATAAGAATTGCAGATATTTCAGTAATAACAATGAAAACTAGGAAATTTGAAAATTAGGTGAGGGACCACATACTAAATGCACATGCTTGATTCATCAAAATATACTTTAGTTTCAAAACATATACTATTTAATACAATAACTTATTGAAATATGGTTTTATATGTGCTGAAGCATTCAGGATCACCTACTTTGTAGACTTTCAATATTCATCTCATATAAAATGGCTGTGTGCATAGAAAACAGCAGGTGTACAAGTGGTCCATTACGCTTGACATGACATTCATCTTTTCACAAACATTATCAAATATATCATGAGCTTGATAGTTCAAACATTGGGTTGATTTACATATTAACTGATCCATGGCGATAGAGTGGAAAAAAATCCTTGTTAGATTTATGACCTTCTCTAAAAGTTCAAAGCAACTTGGATGAAGAGCACCCCTTAATTTTATCTTTGTGATCTTGTGAATTAGGTTAAACTGATGGAATGAGTGGCTCAAAGTTATCCCCTGAGTTCTTAGGGTGGACCTCAATCTAGGTTTCCCCCAAGCTAGTCCAAATCTTCACAGGTACTTATTATTTCAGATATTGTTCAACAAAGGAAAAATTTAGAACTAGCATGTAGGAACCCCTTGCAACCAGCTGGAAGTGCTGTAGGTTTATTGTTACAATATGTATTATTTTACAAGAATGCAAATCCACTTCAGCATATAATAAATACCTCTTCTTTCCTGCGTAGTCAGCTCTGCGGAGAGTGTAGAAAGTTCTGATAAAAACAGAAAATTATGTTTCTATCATGGCTGTATAGAGATAAAGATAATGCTGAAAAAAAACCCTATTCTCTTGGTTTTCCACTTCTTCTCAATCCGTTTGTGCTTCCTACATATTATTTGTTTTCAGATTCAATCTTTGTTCATTTTTTCACCAAATCACTTCATGATACTGCTTTTGTACTAATCAGCCTAATTAATTTGGTTCCCAGTCATTAAGGACATTAACAGTACTGCTTAACCAGAAACAAATTTTAAATACCTCAAAGACATAGAATATTTTATATATTATTTATTAAAGCCATATGCCACCTCACTATCCAGAACAAAACATTCCATAATTCAATGCTTTCACTTTAATTTAATCCTTACTTAAATCAGACAAATGATAATCTTTCTTTCTTATATTCATACATTTTTCAATCATTTGCTGAAAAGCCAAATTCCAATTTTCACAGCACATGCATAGCATAAAGGCTCACTTTATTTCACAAATTGTAGTTTCAATGAAAAGAATAAAAAAGGGAAGTTGGATGAATCTTATTTATCTCTGTGCTAATAAAGACGTTATTGGTTCTATTTCCCATTAAATTATAAAGCAAGTTTTGGTTTTAAGTAATAAGAGAAATATAAGCAATTACCTATAGATGGTGGTGTGGTGACAGCAGCACCTGAAAATAGAAGAAATGACTTCTGTCTGGGTGAAGATGATAGCATATTGATGATGATCATTTATGAGATTTCATGATATTGCCAGTATTATTATCATCATTATAATTTCTTTTATATTTTTTACTCTTTAGTTTGATACAATTAAGTAAAATAAGAAAGGCATAGCAAATCTGACTGAAAGTATCGAAACCGATGCTTGTTGCTTTTCAATATTGATACTACAGGTAGTCCTCATTTACTGACTGCTATTGAGTCTAACAACTCCATCATTAAGTGTTGTGATTGTTAAGCATGTTAAGCACTTTAATCAAATTTATTTAAAGATAATGTGATAACTCACTGAAATCTGCAGAACGTCTTAAATCATTGAATGTTCAATAATAAATGCACTTTTTCTACTGAGACCCATTATCAATGAAGATTGTCTGAAATCTTTAAACATAATAGCAATTAGGACCCTTTGCTATCACATTCAAGACTTCCTGGTTAGATGGTGACATCCCCTTGGCTTTTTGATGGTATAATTCTACCTGGCAACAGTTACCTTACACTGATATCTGATTTTTAAATTATTTTTTCACGGTGTTTTGATAATGTAAACCAAGTAAAACTGAAAATTGAGCGGTTCAGATTACCTGAGCAAATGACCCCAGCATCTTCTTTGTGGTGACAGTTATGAACACCCCAAGGTTTATGAGCGCATCCTTCAAGAGAGGATTCGTTCCCTTTGCACTTCAGCTCATCCAGGAAGATGCTGCCAGTTCCTTCCCCAAATGCAGCATTAGGTACGGCTTGGATGGCCTCTCCACAGGCAAGCTGCCTACACACAACTTGTGCGTCATTCATGTCCCAGCCATCGTCACAAATTGTTCCCCAGCTTCCGTTGTAAAAGACCTCAATTCGACCACGACATTTGTCTTCTCCATTCACCAGTCTCAGAGATTTTTCTTGAAAGGAAAACAAATGCATATTGGAATTTTCACCTCAGATATCTAATTTCTAGAGTTCTTTATTAGTAAACAGAGAGGAATCACCTCTGCTGTTCTATTTTGTCTATAGAATACATTAATGACAGTCAATTTTATTCGTCAGATTATTTTTTTAATTTAATTTGGTTCTATCAGAACAAAAGTAGTTTCCATAGAGAAAAATAATGAGTGGAAAAGAAATGATGCATTTTTGTACATTTGCATGTTAGAGGCAAAAATGAGCTTGGAATATTTTGTTTCTTTTACATAAGGAAAAGAAGCCATCACAAAATGGCTAACATGCTATTCAACATTTAATTATAATTGTTCATGAATGAGGAAATTGGTTAATCTACTCATCTGGAGCAGTTGGATCTGATACACTTACTGCAGCAACAGGTCTAGTAGTTGGATACTGAGTATTTAGTGCCCAAATTGGTAATAAATAGAGCAAATATAATTTAACATTAGGACTGAAAATAATTTTAAATTATTAAACGGGAGGTTATTTTAGGGCAGACATGTCAAACTCGCGACGTCACGTGACGTCACACGACGTATCAGAACCTTTTCCTCATTGCTGGCAATCAGGTGGGCGCAGTTTCCTTATGATGCATCCGGCCCAAGGGCTGGCAGTTTGACACCCCTGTTATAGGGGGTACACCAGAAAAGCGTGTGAAATAAAACACTTTGAAAAATGCATTTGCTCAAATAAAACATCATATTCAAAGTTCTATAATACAACGTATTAAAGACACAAAAAATATGTTTGCAGTATAATGCTAGATCATGTTGATTAGAAAATTATCCAAATGAAAATACCTGGGACTTCTGATGTATTTTTTGTGGGAGCTACAGAAACCAAAAGAAAAGAAATAGCTGAGTTTGATAAATGAAGAAAGGAAAGGAAAACAGACACAAGAATCTGATAGTTTAATTGTTTAAACTACAGAATCACTTTAATTATTCTCAGGAATATTCTGCAAGCCTATCTATTAAAATCAGAAAGTATAGTTTAGAATATATGACCTTTTTATTTACAGCATACAAAAAGCCTTCACAGTGAAACTCTAGTATGCTAATTTTCACAGAGAGGCTCCTAACGGCAGGAATTTAAAAATAATGATTTGGTTTTCAGTGAAAATAAATCTGAGGCATAACACATGCGTTTCATAGAACAGATGTCACTGATTTTTTTTAATATTACTAAATAATATTATTCAGGAATTTCAGTATTCCCTAATTGTGTTACTAATTTCATGATACATTCTTCTGTGAAAAATGAGATCATTTCTCAAATACATTATTTATTGTTTGCAAAGACAACCGATACTTACTAGGTATAATGGGATTCTTTGTTGTAAGGGAAACTGTTTCTATGAAAAAAAAGCAAAAAATACAGAAAGTAAACTCCTCCTCTGAGTGACAGGGAAGTATTCATAATATTTTGCTACGAAGGCTCCTATGAAATCATTTTACACTAACAGCAATGGAGATGGTTACCTGAGCAAATGACCCCAGCGTCTTCCTTGTGGCCACACCGATGAGTTTCCCAGCCTGGATTGGAGCACTCTTCTATAGACGATTCATTCCCTTTGCACTGAACATTTTCTAGGAGGATGTTGCCAGTGCCTTGCCCAAAATAGGCTTCACTGGTGGCCTCCACAACTTCTCCACAGGCAAGTTGTCTGCAAACAACCTTTGCATCTTGTAAGTCCCAACCGTCATCACAGACTGTTCCCCAGTCCCCATTGTAGAAGATTTCAAGACGACCCTGGCATCTGCTTTTTCCATTCATCAACCTTACAGTCAATGAGCTTGTTGTTGTTACCAGTGCACTTTCTGCAATTGTCAAAAGAATATAAACAGCATTTTTTTCTCCAATGACACATTACAATGACTCTTTGAGGGTTCACTTTAAAAAGGCATATCAGTGTTTCCCAACCTGATTTTTTTTCAGGTAACATTCTGCCTTTGTGTATCTATGTGCGTGCGTGCGTGCGTGTGTGTACAACTCTAGATATTGTGACCGATGTTCCCCTTTAGATAAATGGAGTTGAATAGATTTAAGAGGACTGGCCACAACTGCTATCCAATCTACAAATTTTTGGTGATTTCCTTGGATCTTCCACAAATTATTTTGTATATTTGAGTGATATCTTTGAACTTCCTTACCCCTGAACACCAGAGATCAAAAACTCGTTATTCTTTACATCATCATGCAATAAAAGATGAACATTTCTAGAATGCTTTATTTCTAAACAGAGAGGAATCACTCCGCTGTTCTGTTTTGCCAACATAACATATTAATGTAACACATAATACAGTAATATCAGTCAATTTCATTCAAGTCATTATTTTTCTATGAGAATTGAAGTGGTTCCATAGTAAGGTGGAAAACCACATGCTCTTCTCTATATGTTTCAGTTCTGTCCCTTGGTAGTTCCAACTCTTTGGCTCATTTCAACAGCACAACCATGACTTAGGGAAATATACTTTCAAATAATTTCCTATTTAATATAAAATTCCTTTTGTAGCTTACTGAAATTCAGATTTGTATGTTCTTTGCAGACTTCCAACAACCTTCATATCACCATACAATAAAACAGGTGTGGGATCAGAAAGAAGAGATATACAGGGTTCATTGTGTTACTGTTACAATATCTATTACTGTTACAAGAATGAAAATCCACTTAGCCATATAATAAATACCTCTTCTTTCCTGCGTAGTCAGCTCTGCAGAAGTTGTAGAAAGTTCTGACAAAAACAGAAAATTAATGCAAATCCAAAAAAAAAAAAAAAAGGTCTGGTGGAATGTTCAAAAGATTTTTAAGAGAAAGATAAAGTTTACTCCGCAGTTATTTTTGTTGGGTATTATTGTAGATTTTGATGTTAAAGAAATCAACTTGATGTTGAATCTTATAACAGCTGCAAGATTATTAGTGGGGCAATATTGGAAGAAAAACTCTCTGCCTACTATGGAAGAATGGATACTTAAGGAGTCTAATTTAGCAGAAATGGCGAAAATCCCCGCCTATTTAAAGGATCATTCACAAGAAAAATATATTATGGTTTGGGAAAATGGATTGATTACATTCAGAAGAAATATGAGATTGAAAAGTATTATCTTGCTTATGAGTAGATTTTAGATAATTATTAATAGTTTTAATTATATTATTATTTGAGTTTATAATTTGTTAACATTTGTTTTGAAAAGGAGTTAAAGTGTTTTGATTGATAGTATAGTTGGTTAATATTAGTTAGATTATGTTTGTTTATTTGTTACCCTGTAATCAGCTCTGGGAAGTGGGGGAGGGGGGATGGGGTGGGAGGGGTTTATATTGTATTAAATTTGTAAAACTTTTAATAATAATAATAATAAAAAAGAATGCAAATCCACTTAGCCATATAATAAATACCTCTTCTTTCCTGCGTAGTCAGCTCTGCGGAAGTTGTAGAAAGTTCTGACAAAAACAGAAAATTAATGTTATATGACTAAGAAATTTTGCCAGAAGTTATTTTCTATTATGGGTATATAAAGATAACACTGGAAAAAAAAAAACATTCTCTTGGTTTTCCACTTCCTCTCAATCCATTTGCTCCTCCTACATATATTTGTTTTCAGATTCAATCCTTGTTCATTCTCTTTGACCAAACCCACTTCATGATACTTCTTTGTATTAAGTAACCTAATTAATTTGTTTCCCAATCATTAAGGACACTAACAGTACTGCTTAACCACAAACCATCTTTAAATACTCCATAGACACTGCTTAATTTACTGGTTTGTTTGTTTAATTTCTCCTTAAATTCTAATGCAAGATTTGGTTTTAAGTAACAACAGAAATTTAAGAAAATACCTACCTGGTGGTGGTGTGGTGACAGCAGGACCTGGAAATAGAAGAAATAATTTCTGTCTGGGTGAAGATGATGGCATACTCACGATGATCAGTTATGAGGTTTCATGATACTACCAGTATTGTTATCAACATTATTTCTTTTATATTTTTTTACTTTATTTTGATACAGCAAAATACAATAAAAAAGGGTATAGCAAATGTGACTGACACCTGTTGCTTTTTAATATTGAGACTACAGGTAGTCCTCATTTACTGACTGCAGTTGAGTCTGCCAGCTCCTCTGTTAAGTGCTGGCATGTTAAGCACTTTAATCACGCACTTTAATCACATTTACTTAAAAATAACATAATAACTTATTGAAATCTACATAATAAGGACAAATCCTTAAATCCTTGTATGTTCAATAATAAATGCCCTTTTTCTATGGAGAAAATGAAGATTGCCTGAAAACTTTACACATAATAGCAATTAGGATCCTTTGTGATCCTGTTCAAGGATCAGGTTCAATGATGACATACTTTGCTTTCTGATATTCTATCAGAGAGCAGCCACATTACATTGTCCCCTGATTATTTAATTATGCTTTCAGTGTGTTTGGTTAATGTATTTATTTATTTAGCGTATAATACAATTAGCTAGTACATAGTAGTTATTGGGCTGCTCAAGAGTGCTAGCCTGTTTAGTTTGCGCTCATGTGCTAATCCATGACATACCACAGAGGATGAACTAGCTTTGCATCAGAAAGACAAGTGGAATCCTATGGCATCAGCTGAGGTCTTCTCTCACACCAATGTTGCAGCACAATTTGGCATTGCATCCAGGCAGGACCATTACCACTCCAGGTCTGACTGTCTATACAAAAAGATGCCGTGTTTCTCACTGAAGATGCCATGTTTCCCACCTAGTCACATGTAGCATGTTTTGTAACTGCTAGGTGGGCAGAAGCTGAGGCAAGTAACAGGAGCTCACTCTGGCATGTGGTGCTAGGACTTGAACCACCAGAGCAGAGACCAACTCCAGTGTTTTTAAGCCACTGAGTTTATTAGACCTATTAGATAATATGAACCAGTTAAAAATATCACATAACTTGAAAATTGAGCAGTTTAGATTACCTGAGCAAATGACCCCAGCATCTTCCTTGTGGTGACAGTTATGAACGCTCCAAGGTTTATGAGCGCATTCTTCAAGAGAGGATTCATTCCCTTTGCACTGGACCTGATCCAGGAAGATGCTGCCAGTTCCTTCCCCAAATGCAGCATTAGGTACGGCTTGGATGGCCTCTCCACAGGCAAGCTGCCTACACACAACATGAGCATCATTCATGTCCCAGCCATCGTCACAAATTGTTCCCCAGCTTCCATTGTAGTAGACCTCAATGCGACCATGACATTTGTCTTCTCCATTCACCAGTCTCAGAGATTTTTCTAGAAAGGAAAACAAATTCATATTTGACTTTTGCTTTAGATATTTAATGTCTAGAATTATTTATTTCTAAATAGAGAAGAATAACCTCTGATGTTTTGTTTTACACCCATTGAGTGGAAAGCACCCCTTGCCATCAGCTGGAAGTGCTGTAGGTTTATTGTTACAATATTCATTACTGTTATAAGAATGGATATCTACTTCAGCATATAATAAATACCTCTTATTTGTTGTGTAGTCAGAACTGTGGAGGGTGTAGAAAGATCTGACAAAAACAATTTTTTTTATAGTTATAGTTATATAATATAGTTACATATTTCTGAAACTTTGCCAGATCTTCTTTGCTATCATAGGTGTATACAGATAAAAATAATGCTGAAAAAAACCAGCCATTCTTTGAAAAGCAAAACTCCAGTCTTCACACATTACATGCTTCACATAAAGACTAACTTTATTTCATGAACTGTGCTTTCAGTGAACAAAAGAAAACAAAGTTGGATGAATCTTATTTCTCTTCTTGCTGCTAAAGAGTTTACTGGCTCTATTTCCCCTTAAATTATATGTAATAATAGAAATTTAAGAAAATACCTACCAGGTGGTGGTGTTGTTGTGACAGTAGAACCTGAAAATGGAAGAAATAACTTCAGTCTGGGTAAAGATGACACCATACTGATGATGATCAATTATGAGATTTCATGATGCTGCCAGTTTTATTATTGTCATTATTTCTTTTACTCTTCTGTAGAATAGAATAGAATGGAATGGAATGGAATGGAAAACAATAGAATAGAATAGAATAGAATAGAATAGAATAGAATAGAATAGAATAGAGCAGAGCTGGAAGGGGCCTTGGAGGTCTTCTAGTCCAGCCCCCTGCTCAAGCAGGAAAACCTATACCATTTCAGACAAGTGACTGTCTAGTCTCTTCTTAAACATTTCCAGTGATGGAGCACCCATGATTTCTGGAGGCAAGCTGTTCCACTGGTTAATTGTCCTCACTGTCAGGAAGTTTCTCCTTAATTCCAGGTTGCTTCTCTCTTTGATCAGTTTCCAACTATTGTTTCTTGTCCTGCCCTCTGGTAATTTGGTGAATAACATGACCCCCTCTTCTTTATGGCAGCCCCTCAAATACTAGAATACTGCTATATGTCTCCCCTGTTTCTTCTTTTCTTTAGACTAGACAAACCCAAGTCCCGCAGCCGTTCTTCATATGTTTTAGTCTCCAGGCTTTGATCATCTTAGTTGCTCTTTGAATTTTTTTTCCAAACTCTCAACTTCTTTTACACCTTATTTGAATCAAACAAAATATGATACTCATTCTTTCTTATATTCATACATCATTCAATGACTTGTTGAAAAGCAAATTTTGAGTCTTCACAGAACATGCCTAGCATAAAGACTAATTCTATTTCACAGATTGTTCTTTCAGTGAAAAGAAAGACGAGAAAGTGGTTCAATCCTATTGCTCTCTATGGTTCTATTTCCCTTTAAATTATGATGCAAGATTTGGTTTTAAATAACACTAGAAATTAAAGTGAATGCTTACCAGGAAGTGGTGTGGTGACAGCAGGACCTAAAAATAGAAGAAACAATTTTGATCTGGCTGAAGAAGACAACCTACTGATGCTGATGAATTAGGAGGTTACATTATATTGCCATTATTATTATATTACCATTATTTTTTATATTTTTTACTCTTCTTTAGATTGCTATAAGAAGTAAAATAAAAATGAGCATTGGAAGCCTGGCTTGAAGTATTGGAACTGATGCTTACACGTAAGTCCTCAGTTACTGATTGGAATTGTCTGACAACTCAATTAACATTGTTTAGTGCTGATGTTGTTAGGTATATATTAAGTATTTTAATAAAATTTCCTTAAAGATAATGTAATAATTAACTGAAACCTGCATAACAAGAAATCTTCAAATCATTATAAGTTTAATAATAAATGCACTTTTTTTTCCTACTGAGGCCCATTATCAATTAAGACTGTCTGAAAGATTTACACATAATAGCAATTAGGGATTGCTTTTGGGATCCCATTCAAGATCTCCTAGTTAGATGGTGACAACCTAATTAATTTTGCTTCCAATCAATCAGGAGCAAACCACAAACAAGTTAGTCACCAATTTAGTTATTTACTTACCATTTCCCCCGTAAATTAGGACGCAAGTCTTGGTTTTAAGTAACAATAGAAATTTAAGCAAATACCTACCAGGGGGTGCTGTGCTGACAGCAGGACCTGAAAACAGGAGAATAACTTTGGTCTGGGTGAAGAAGACAACATACTGATGTTGATGAATTAGGACAGTGATGGCGAACCTTTTAGAGACCGAGTGCCCAAACTGCAACCCAAAACCCACTTATGCATCGTCGGGTGCCGGGTAGGTGTGGCCCATTGGCTGGCTGTGGCCCATTGGCTGGGCGTGGCTGCGGTGGTAACAACAGACTGGGTGGGACTAAAAAGTTCAATCAATCAATTCCAACTTTGCAAGATCTTTTTTTTCCCCGCAGGAAGTTGAAATTGACTGATTGATTGAACCTTTTTTTTTTTTTGCACACGGCGGCAGAGGCCTAAAGCGAAAAGGTTTAATAAAACCCAGCTGAGGGCCTAGGACTGGGGTGACAGCACACGTGCCCACAGAGAGAGCTCTGAGTGCTGTCTCTGGCACCTGTGCCATAGGTTCGCCACCACTGAATTAGGAGGTTATATTATATTGCCATTATTTCTATCATTATTTCTTTTATCCTTTTTACTTTTCTTTAGTTTGATACAATAAAGTAAAATAAAAAAGGTATTGCAAACTTAGCTTAAAGTGTTGATATTGAAGCCTGTTGCCTTTTAATATTGAGACTACAGGTAAGTCCTCTTTTACTGACTACAATTGAGTCTGCCAACTCCATTATTAAGTCCTATGGTTGTTAAAGGTGTTAAGCACCTTAAACAAATTTACTTAAATATAATTTAATAACTTATATAAATCTGCATAACAAGACCCAATCCTTAGATCTTTGTATGTTCAATAATAAATGCATTTTTTGTTCTCTTGAATGAAGATTGTTTGAAAGCCTTATGCATAACAGCAATTTGGATCCTTTACAATCCCATTTATGAACATCTAGTTGAATGACAAACTACTTTGGCTTTCTAATACATCATTCTACCTGGGAAAAGACACATTGCATTCACATCTGATTTTAAATTCTTCTCTTAGTATGTTTGGATAATGGAAACCAAATAAAACAGCACAACACTTGAAAACTGAGCAGTTCAGATTACCTGAGCAAATGACCCCAGCATCTTCCTTGTGACGACAGTTATGAACGCCCCAAGCTTTATGAGCGCATTCTTCAAGAGAGGATTCGTTCCCTTTGCACTGGACTTGATCCAGGAAGATGCTGCCAGTTCCTTCCCCAAATGCAGCATTAGGTAGGGCTTCAATGGCTTCTCCACAGGCAAGCTGCCTACACACAACATGCGCATCATTCTTGTCCCAGCCATCATCACAAATTGTTCCCCAGCTTCCATTGTAGTAGACCTCAATGCGACCACGACATTTGTCTTCTCCATTCACCAGTCTCAGAGATTTTTCTTGAAAGGAAAACAATTGTGTATTGGACTTTCACCTCAAATATCTGGTTTTTAGAATTCTTTATTACTAAATAAAGAGGAATTATCTCTGCAGTTCCGTTTTGCACTCCTTGAGTGGAAAGCACCCTTTGCAATCAGCTGGAAGTGCTGTAGGTTTATTCTTACAATGTTTATTAATGTTATAAGAATGAAAATCCACTTCATCGTATAATAAATACCTCTTATTCCCTGCGTAGTCAGATGTGTGGAGATTGTAGAAAGTTCTGACAAAAACAATAAATGTTACAGTTATATGTTTCAGAAATGTTGCCAGAACCTCTTTGCTATCATAGGTATAGAGAGATAAAAATAATGCTGGAAATAACCAGCCACTCTCCGGGTTTAAACTACCTCTCGATCCGCTTGCTCTTCTACATATATTTCTCTACAAATTCAATCCTTCTATATTCTGTTTGACCAATCCACTTTATGGCCTAATAAATTCAACTTCCAATCATTCAAGATCCAATCCCTATTGTTTAACCAAAAATAATTTTAAAGTACCTGATAGTCACCAAATCAGTCAGTTAGTCACCTTGCTATCAAGAGCAAATTGTTCCATAATTAAATGACTTCACTTTATTTTACATCTTATTTGAATCAAACAAAATATGATACTCATTCTTTCTTATATCCATACATCATTCAATGACTTGTTGAAAAGCAAATTTTGAGTCTTCACAGCACATGCCTAGCATAAAGACTAATTCTATTTCACAGATTGTTCTTTCAGTGAAAAGAAAGACGAGAAAGTGGTTCAATCTTATTGCTCTCTATGGTTCTATTTCCCTTTAAATTATGATGCAAGATTTGGTTTTAAATAACACTAGAAATTAAAGCGAATGCCTACCAGGAAGTGGTGTGGTGACAGCAGGACCTAAAAATAGAAGAAACAATTTTGATCTGGCTGAAGAAGACAACCTACTGATGCTGATGAATTAGGAGGTTACATTATATTGCCATTATTATTATATTACCATTATTTTTTATATTTTTTACTCTTCTTTAGATTGCTATAAGAAGTAAAATAAAAATGAGCACTGGAAGCCTGGCTTGAAGTATTGGAACTGATGCTTACACGTAAGTCCTCAGTTACTGACTGGAATTGTCTCTGACAACTCAGTTAACATTGTTTAGTGCTGATGTTGTTAGGTATATATTAAGTACTTTAATCAAATTTCCTTAAAGATAATGTAATAATTAACTGAAACCTGCATAACAAGAAATCTTCAAATCATTATAAGTTTAATAATAAATGCACTTTTTTTTCCTACTGAGGCCCATTATCAATTAAGACTGTCTGAAAGATTTACACATAATAGCAATTAGGGATTGCTTTTGGGATCCCATTCAAGATCTCCTAGTTAGATGGTGACAACCTAATTAATTTTGCTTCCAATCACTCAGGAGCAAACCACGAACAAGTTAGTCACCAATTTAGTTATTTACTTACCATTTCCCCCATAAATTAGGACGCAAGTCTTGGTTTTAAGTAACAATAGAAATTTAAGCAAATACCTACCAGGGGGTGCTGTGCTGACAGCAGGACCTGAAAACAGGAGAATAACTTTGGTCTGGGTGAAGAAGACAACATACTGATGTTGATGAATTAGGACAGTGATGGCGAACCTTTTAGAGACCGAGTGCCCAAACTGCAACCCAAAACCCCACTTATGCATCGTCGGGTGCCGGGTAGGTGTGGCCCATTGGGTGGGTGTGGCTGCGGTGGTAACAGCAGACTGGGTGGGACTAAAAAGTTCAATCAATCAATTCCAACTTTGCAAGATCTTTTTTTTCCCTGCAAGAAGTTGAAATTGACTGATTGATTGAACCTTTTTTTTTTTGCACACGACGGCAGACGCCTAAAGCAAAAAGGTTTTATAAAACCCAACTGAGGGCCTAGGACTGGGGCGATGGTGCATGTGCCCACAGAGAGGGCTCTGAGTGCCGCCTCTGGCACCTGTGCCATAGGTTCCCCACCACTGGTCTATACAAAAAGATGCCGTGTTTCTCACTGAAGATGCCATGTTTCCCACATATTTATCTAGTCACATGTAGCATGTTTTGTAACTGCTAGGTGGGCAGAAGCTGAGGCAAGTGACAGGACTCACTCTGCCATGTGGTGCTAGGACTTAAACTGCCAGAGCAGAGACCAACTCCACTGTTTTTAAGCCACTGAGCCACTGGACCTATTAGATAATGTGAACCAGTTAAAAATATCACGTAACTTGAAAATTGAGCAGTTTAGATTACCTGAGCAAATGACCCCAGCATCTTCCTTGTGACGACAGTTATGAACGCCCCAAGCTTTATGAGCGCATTCTTCAAGAGAGGATTCGTTCCCTTTGCACTGGACCTGATCCAGGAAGATGCTGCCAGTTCCTTCCCCAAATGCAGCATTAGGTACGGCTTGGATGGCCTCTCCACAGGCAAGCTGTCTACACACAACTTGTGCGTCATTCATGTCCCAGCCATCGTCACAAATTGTTCCCCAGCTTCCACTGAAAAAAACCTCAATGCGACCACGACATTTGTCTTCTCCATTCACCAGTCTCAGAGATTTTTCTAGAAAGGAAAACAAATTCATATTTGACTTTTGCTTTAGATATTTAATGTCTAGAATTCTTTATTTCTAAATAGAGAAGAATAACCTCGGATGTTCTGTTTTATACCCATTGAGTGGAAAGCACCCCTTGCCATCAGCTGGAAGTGCTGTAGGTTTATTGTTACAATATTTGTTACTGTTATAAGAATGGATATCTATTTCAGCATATAATAAATACCTCTTATTTGTTGTGTAGTCAGAACTGTGGAGGGTGTAGAAAGATCTGACAAAAACAAGAAATTTTATAGTTATATAATATAGTTTTATATTTCTGAAACTTTGCCAGATCTTCTTTGCTAGCATAGGTGTATACAGATAAAAATAATGCTGAAAAAAACCAGCCACTCTTTGAAAAGCAAAACTCCAGTCTTCACACATCACATGCTTCACATAAACACTAACTTTATTTCATGAACTGTGCTTTCAGTGAACAAAAGAAAAGAAAGTTGGATGAATCTTATTTCTCTTCTTGCTACTAAAGACTTTACTGGCTCTATTTTCCCTTAAATTATATGTAATAATAGAAATTTAAGAAAATACCTACCAGGTGGTGTTGTTGTGACAGTAGGACCTGAAAATGGAAGAAATAACTTCAGTCTGGGTGAAGATGACACCATTCTGATGATGATCAATTATGAGATTTCATGATGCTGCCAGTATTATTATTGTCATTATTTCGTTTATTTCTTTTACTCTTCTGTAGAATAGAATAGAATAGAATAGAATGGAATAGAATAGAATAGAATAGAGCAGAGCTGGAAGGGGCCTTGGAGGTCTTCTAGTCCACCCCCCTGCTCAAGCAGGAAAACCTATACCATTTCAGACAAGTGACTGTCTAGTCTCTTCTTAAACATTTCCAGTAATGGAGCACCCATGATTTCTGGAGGCAAGCTGTTCCACTGGTTAATTGTCCTCACTGTCAGGAAGTTTCTCCTTAATTCCAGGTTGCTTCTCTCTTTGATCAGTTTCCAACTATTGTTTCTTGTCCTGCCCTCTGGTAATTTGGTGAATAACATGACCCCCTCTTCTTTATGGCAGCCCCCCAAATACTGGAATACTGCTATATGTCTCCCCTGTTTCTTCTTTTCTTTAGACTAGACAAACCCAAGTCCCGCAGCCGTTCTTCATATGTTTTAGTCTCCAGGCCTTTGATCATCTTAGTTGCTCTTTGAATTTTTTTCCAAACTCTCAACATCTTTTACACCTTATTTGAATCAAACAAAATATGATACTCATTCTTTCTTATATCCATACATCATTCAATGACTTGTTGAAAAGCAAATTTTGAGTCTTCACAGCACATGCCTAGCATAAAGACTAATTCTATTTCACAGATTGTTCTTTCAGTGAAAAGAAAGACGAGAAAATGGTTCAATCTTATTGCTCTCTATGGTTCTATTTCCCTTTAAATTATGATGCAAGATTTGGTTTTAAATAACACTAGAAATTAAAGCGAATGCTTACCAGGAAGTGGTGTGGTGACAGCAGGACCTAAAAATAGAAGAAACAATTTTGATCTGGCTGAAGAAGACAACCTACTGATGCTGATGAATTAGGAGGTTACATTATATTGCCATTATTATTATATTACCATTATTTTTTATATTTTTTACTCTTCTTTAGATTGCTATAAGAAGTAAAATAAAAATGAGCATTGGAAGCCTGGCTTGAAGTATTGGAACTGATGCTTACACGTAAGTCCTCAGTTACTGATTGGAATTGTCTGACAACTCAATTAACATTGTTAAGGACTGATGTTGTTAGGTATATATTAAGTACTTTAATCAAATTTCCTTAAAGATAATGTAATAATTAACTGAAACCTGCTAACAAGAAATCTTCAAATCATTATAAGTTTAATAATAAATGCACTTTTTTTTCCTACTGAGGCCCATTATCAATTAAGACTGTTCGAAAGATTTACACATAATAGCAATTAGGGATTGCTTTTGGGATCCCATTCAAGACCTCTTACTTAGATGGTGACAACCTAATTAATTTTGCTTCCAATCAATCAGGAGCAAACCACAAACAAGTTAGTCACCAATTTAGTTATTTACTTACCATTTCCCCCGTAAATTAGGACGCAAGTCTTGGTTTTAAGTAACAATAGAAATTTAAGCAAATACCTACCAGGGGGTGCTGTGCTGACAGCAGGACCTGAAAACAGGAGAATAACTTTGGTCTGGGTGAAGAAGACAACATACTGATGTTGATGAATTAGGACAGTGATGGCGAACCTTTTAGAGACCGAGTGCCCAAACTGCAACCCAAAACCCCACTTATGCATCGTCGGGTGCCGGGTAGGTGTGGCCCATGGGGTGGGTGTGGCTGCGGTGGTAACAGCAGACTGGGTGGGACTAAAAAGTTCAATCAATCAATTCCAACTTTGCAAGATCTTTTTTTTCCCTGCAAGAAGTTGAAATTGACTGATTGATTGAACCTTTTTTTTTTTTGCACACGACGGCAGACGCCTAAAGCAAAAAGGTTTTATAAAACCCAACTGAGGGCCTAGGACTGGGGCGATGGTGCATGTGCCCACAGAGAGGGCTCTGAGTGCCGCCTCTGGCACCTGTGCCATAGGTTCCCCACCACTGGTCTATACAAAAAGATGCCGTGTTTCTCACTGAAGATGCCATGTTTCCCACATATTTATCTAGTCACATGTAGCATGTTTTGTAACTGCTAGGTGGGCAGAAGCTGAGGCAAGTGACAGGACTCACTCTGCCATGTGGTGCTAGGACTTAAACTGCCAGAGCAGAGACCAACTCCACTGTTTTTAAGCCACTGAGCCACTGGACCTATTAGATAATGTGAACCAGTTAAAAATATCACGTAACTTGAAAATTGAGCAGTTTAGATTACCTGAGCAAATGACCCCAGCATCTTCCTTGTGACGACAGTTATGAACGCCCCAAGCTTTATGAGCGCATTCTTCAAGAGAGGATTCGTTCCCTTTGCACTGGACCTGATCCAGGAAGATGCTGCCAGTTCCTTCCCCAAATGCAGCATTAGGTACGGCTTGGATGGCCTCTCCACAGGCAAGCTGTCTACACACAACTTGTGCGTCATTCATGTCCCAGCCATCGTCACAAATTGTTCCCCAGCTTCCACTGAAAAAAACCTCAACGCGACCACGACATTTGTCTTCTCCATTCACCAGTCTCAGAGATTTTTCTAGAAAGGAAAACAAATTCATATTTGACTTTTGCTTTAGATATTTAATGTCTAGAATTCTTTATTTCTAAATAGAGAAGAATAACCTCTGATGTTCTGTTTTACACCCATTGAGTGGAAAGCACCCCTTGCCATCAGCTGGAAGTGCTGTAGGTTTATTGTTACAATATTTGTTATTGTTATAAGAATGGATATCTACTTCAGCATATAATAAATACCTCTTATTTGTTGTGTAGTCAGAACTGTGGAGGGTGTAGAAAGATCTGACAAAAACAAGAAATTTTATAGTTATATAATATAGTTATATATTTCTGAAACTTTGCCAGATCTTCTTTGCTAGCATAGGTGTATACAGATAAAAATAATGCTGAAAAAAACCAGCCACTCTTTGAAAAGCAAAACTCCAGTCTTCACACACCACATGCTTCACATAAACACTAACTTTATTTCATGAACTGTGCTTTCAGTGAACAAAAGAAAACAAAGTTGGATGAATCTTATTTCTCTTCTTGCTGCTAAAGAGTTTACTGGCTCTATTTTCCATTAAATTATATGTAATAATAGAAATTTAAGAAAATACCTACCAGGTGGTGTTGTTGTGACAGTAGGACCTGAAAATGGAAGAAATAACTTCAGTCTGGGTGAAGATGACACCATTCTGATGATGATCAATTATGAGATTTCATGATGCTGCCAGTATTATTATTGTCATTATTTCGTTTATTTCTTTTACTCTTCTGTAGAATAGAATAGAATAGAATAGAATGGAATAGAATAGAATAGAATAGAGCAGAGCTGGAAGGGGCCTTGGAGGTCTTCTAGTCCACCCCCCTGCTCAAGCAGGAAAACCTATACCATTTCAGACAAGTGACTGTCTAGTCTCTTCTTAAACATTTCCAGTAATGGAGCACCCATGATTTCTGGAGGCAAGCTGTTCCACTGGTTAATTGTCCTCACTGTCAGGAAGTTTCTCCTTAATTCCAGGTTGCTTCTCTCTTTGATCAGTTTCCAACTATTGTTTCTTGTCCTGCCCTCTGGTAATTTGGTGAATAACATGACCCCCTCTTCTTTATGGCAGCCCCCCAAATACTGGAATACTGCTATATGTCTCCCCTGTTTCTTCTTTTCTTTAGACTAGACAAACCCAAGTCCCGCAGCCGTTCTTCATATGTTTTAGTCTCCAGGCCTTTGATCATCTTAGTTGCTCTTTGAATTTTTTTCCAAACTCTCAACATCTTTTACACCTTATTTGAATCAAACAAAATATGATACTCATTCTTTCTTATATCCATACATCATTCAATGACTTGTTGAAAAGCAAATTTTGAGTCTTCACAGCACATGCCTAGCATAAAGACTAATTCTATTTCACAGATTGTTCTTTCAGTGAAAAGAAAGACGAGAAAGTGGTTCAATCTTATTGCTCTCTATGGTGTTAAAATCTTTACGGGTTCTATTTCCCTTTAAATTATGATGCAAGATTTGGTTTTAAATAACACTAGAAATTAAAGCGAATGCCTACCAGGAAATGGTGTGGTGACAGCAGGACCTAAAAATAGAAGAAATAATTTTGATCTGGCTGAAGAAGACAACCTACTGATGCTGATGAATTAGGAGGTTACATTATATTGCCATTATTATTATATTATCATTATTTTTTATATTTTTTACTCTTCTTTAGATTGCTATAAGAAGTAAAATAAAAATGAGCATTGGAAGCCTGGCTTGAAGTATTGGAACTGATGCTTACACGTAAGTCCTCAGTTACTGATTGGAATTGTCTGACAACTCAATTAACATTGTTAAGGGCTGATGTTGTTAGGTATATATTAAGTACTTTAATCAAATTTCCTTAAAGATAATGTAATAATTAACTGAAACCTGCTAACAAGAAATCTTCAAATCATTATAAGTTTAATAATAAATGCACTTTTTTTTTTCTACTGAGGCCCATTATCAATTAAGACTGTTCGAAAGATTTACACATAATAGCAATTAGGGATTGCTTTTGGGATCCCATTCAAGACAACCTAATTAATTTTGCTTCCAATCAATCAGGAGCAAACCACAAACAAGTTAGTCACCAATTTAGTTATTTACTTACCATTTCCCCCGTAAATTAGGACGCAAGTCTTGGTTTTAAGTAACAATAGAAATTTAAGCAAATACCTACCAGGGGGTGCTGTGCTGACAGCAGGACCTGAAAACAGGAGAATAACTTTGGTCTGGGTGAAGAAGACAACATACTGATGTTGATGAATTAGGACAGTGATGGCGAACCTTTTAGAGACCGAGTGCCCAAACTGCAACCCAAAACCCCACTTATGCATCGTCGGGTGCCGGGTAGGTGTGGCCCATTGGGTGGGTGTGGCTTCGATGGTAACAGCAGACTGGGTGGGACTAAGAAGTTCGATCAATCAATTCCAACTTTGCAAGATCTTTTTTTTCCCCGCAAGAAGTTGAAATTGACTGATTGATTGAACCTTTTTTTTTTTGCACTCGGCGGCAGAGGCCTAAAGCGAAAAGGTTTAATAAAACCCAGCTGAGGGCCTAGGACTGGGGCGACGGCACACGTGCCCACAGAGAGAGCTCTGAGTGCTGCCTCTGGCACCTGTGCCATAGGTTCGCCACCACTGAATTAGGAGGTTATATTATATTGCCATTATTGCTATCATTATTTCTTTTATACTTTTTACTTTTCTTTAGTTTGATACAATAAAGTAAAATAAAAGAGGTATTGCAAACCTAGCTTAAAGTGTTGATATTGAAGCCTGTTGCCTTTTAATATTGAGACTACAGGTAAGTCCTCTTTTACTGATTACAATTGAGTCTGCCAACTCCATCATTAAGTCCTGTGGTTGTTAAACATGTTAAGCACCTTAAACAAATTTACTTAAATATAATTGAATAACTTATAGAAATCTGCATAACAAGACCCAATCCTTAGATCTTTGTATGTTCAATAATAAATGCATTTTTTATTCTCTTGAATGAAGATTGTTTGAAAGCCTTATGCATAACAGCAATTTGGATCCTTTACAATCCCATTTATGAACATCTAGTTGAATGATAAACTACTTTCGCTTTCTAATATATCATTCTACCTGGGAAAAGACACATTGCATTCACATCTGATTTTAAATTCTTCTCTTAGTATGTTTGGATAATGGAAACCAAATAAAACAGCACAACACTTGAAAACTGAGCAGTTCAGATTACCTGAGCAAATGACCCCAGCATCTTCCTTGTGACGACAGTTATGAACGCCCCAAGCTTTATGAGCGCATTCTTCAAGAGAGGATTCGTTCCCTTTGCACTGGACTTGATCCAGGAAGATGCTGCCAGTTCCTTCCCCAAATGCAGCATTAGGTAGGGCTTCAATGGCTTCTCCACAGGCAAGCTGCCTACACACAACATGCGCATCATTCTTGTCCCAGCCATCATCACAAATTGTTCCCCAGCTTCCATTGTAGTAGACCTCAATGCGACCACGACATTTGTCTTCTCCATTCACCAGTCTCAGAGATTTTTCTTGAAAGGAAAACAATTGTGTATTGGACTTTCACCTCAAATATCTGGTTTTTAGAATTCTTTATTACTAAATAAAGAGGAATTATCTCTGCAGTTCTGTTTTGCACTCCTTGAGTGGAAAGCACCCTTTGCAATCAGCTGGAAGTGCTGTAGGTTTATTCTTACAATGTTTATTAATGTTATAAGAATGAAAATCCACTTCATCGTATAATAAATACCTCTTATTCCCTGCGTAGTCAGATGTGTGGATATTGTAGAAAGTTCTGACAAAAACAATAAATGTTACAGTTATATGTTTCAGAAATGTTGCCAGAACCTCTTTGCTATCATAGGTATAGAGAGATAAAAATAATGCTGGAAATATCCAGCCACCCTCCGGGTTTAAACTACCTCTCGATCCGCTTGCTCTTCTATATATATTTCTCTACAAATTCAATCCTTCTATATTCTGTTTGACCAATCCACTTTATGGCCTAATAAATTCAACTTCCAATCATTCAAGATCCAATCCCTATTGTTTAACCAAAAATAATTTTTAAGTACCTGATAGTCACCAAATCAGTCAGTTAGTCACCTTGCTATCAAGAGCAAATTGTTCCATAATTAAATGACTTCACTTTATTTTATATCTTATTTGAATCAAACAAAATATGATACTCATTCTTTCTTATATCCATACATCATTCAATGACTTGTTGAAAAGCAAATTTCGAGTCTTCACAGCACATAAAGACTAATTTTATTTCACAGATTGTTGTTTCAGTGAAAAGAAAGACGAGAAAGTGGTTCAATCTTATTTCTCTCTTTGGTGTTAAAATCTTTACGGGCTCTACTTCCCTTTAAATTATGACGCAAGATTTGGTTTTAAGTAACAATAGAAATTAAAGCAAATGCCTACCAGGGAGTGGTGTGGTGACAGCAGGACCTGAAAATAGAAGAAACAATTTTGATCTGGCTGAAGAAGACAACCTACTGATGCTGATGAATTAGGAGGTTACATTATATTGCCATTATTATTATATTACCATTATTTTTTATATTTTTTACTCTTCTTTAGTTTGATATAAGAAGTAAAATAAAAATGAGCATTGGAAGCCTGGCTTGAAGTATTGGAACTGATGCTTACACGTAAGTCCTCAGTTACTGACTGGAAATGTCTCTGACAACTCAGTTAACATTGTTTAGTGCTGATGTTGTTAGGTATATATTAAGTACTTTAATCAAATTTCCTTAAAGATAATGTAATAATTAACTGAAACCTGCATAACAAGAAATCTTCAAATCATTATAAGTTTAATAATAAATGCACTTTTTTTTCCTACTGAGGCCCATTATCAATTAAGACTGTCTGAAAGGTTTACACATAATAGCAATTAGGGATTGCTTTTGGGATCCCATTCAAGACAACCTAATTAATTTTGCTTCCAATCAATCAGGAGCAAACCACAAACAAGTTAGTCACCAATTTAGTTATTTACTTACCATTTCCCCCATAAATTAGGACGCAAGTCTTGGTTTTAAGTAACAATAGAAATTTAAGCAAATACCTACCAGGGGGTGCTGTGCTGACAGCAGGACCTGAAAATAGGAGAATAACTTTGGTCTGGGTGAAGAAGACAACATACTGATGTTGATGAATTAGGACAGTGATGGCGAACCTTTTAGAGACCGAGTGCCCAAACTGCAACCCAAAACCCACTTATGCATCGTCAGGTGCCGGGTAGGTGTGGCCCATTGGCTGGGCGTGGCCCATTGGCTGGGCGTGGCTGCGGTGGTAACAACAGACTGGGTGGGACTAAAAAGTTCAATCAATCAATTCCAACTTTGCAATATCTTTTTTTTCCCGCAAGAAATTGAAATTGACTTATTGATTGAACCCTTTTTTTTTTTGCACACGGCGGCAGAGGCCTAAAGCGAAAAGGTTTTATAAAACCCAGCTGAGGGCCTAGGACTGGGGCAATGCCGCATGTGCCCACAGAGAGGGCTCTGAGTGCCGCCTCTGGCACCTGTGCCATAGGTTCGCCACCACTGAATTAGGAGGTTACATTATATTGCCATTGTTGCTATCATTATTTCTTTTATATTTTTTACTTTTCTTTAGTTTGATACAATAAAGTAAAATAAAAAAGGTATTGCAAACCTAGCTTAATGTGTTGGTATTGAAGCTTTTTAATATTGAGACTACAGGTAAGTCCTCTTTTACTGACTACAATTGAGTCTGCCAACTCCATTATTAAGTCCTATGGTTGTTAAAGGTGTTAAGCACCTTAAACAAATTTACTTAAATATAATTGAATAACTTATAGAAATCTGCATAACAAGAACCAATCCTTAGATCTTTGTATGTTCAATAATAAATGCATTTTTTATTCTCTTGAATTAAGATTGTTTGAAAGCCTTATGCATAACAGCAATTTAGATCCTTTACAATCCCATTTATGAACATCTAGTTGAATGACAAACTACTTTGGCTTTCTAATATATCATTCTACCTGGGAAAAGACACATTGCATTCACATCTGATTTTAAATTCTTCTCTTAGTATGTTTGGATACTAAATTATAATAAATACCTCTTATTTCCTGTGCAGTCAGATCTGCGGAGGTTGTATAAAGTCTAACAAAAACAATACATTTTATAGCTATATGTTTCAAAAACCTGGCCAGAATTTCTTTGCTATTATAGATATATAGAAATAAAAAAATAATCCTGGAAAAAACCCAGCCATCCTCTTTGTCTTCCTCTTCCTCTCAGTCCTTGTGCTCTTCCTACCTATGTTTGTTTTCAAATTCAGTCCTTGTTCATTCTTTGACCAAACCACTTCATCATTCTGCTTTTCCCCTAGTTAGCCTAGTCAATTTGGGTCCTAATCATTCAGGGCACTATCACATCTTTATGTAACCCACAATCAACAAATATTTTCTTTTTTTATTTGTCAAATTTATATGCCCTCTGACTATTCAGAGCAATACTTGAGTAAATTGTAGTACCCGTTATGGAGGTGGGAGCAGATGTCTTCAAGTCTTCTACAATGCCTTGAGAAGTGGCTGCCAAGCCTGGCGTCACTGTTTCTTCCTTCTGAGTTATTGAATGGGTAGTCTTAGATGATGTTGTGGTTCCATTTGACATTTCTAATGTTCTCATAGTAGGTGTTATTTTTTTCTCAGTTGCTGGATGGGTGGTTTTTTCAGTTGCTAAATATGTGGAATCTAATGTTCTCATAGTAGGTGTTATTTCTTTCTCAGTTGCTGGGAGGGTGGTTTTTTCAGTTAGGAAATATGTGGTATCTATGAAGAAATAGGAATCAAAATAATTTTGAGTTACATAAGAATAAGCTTCAGAAGAATCATGAGTGATTTTTTGATTCTAGCCTGCCATCGCACTCTTATATGATTTATAATTAAAAGTACTGAGAACTTGAGCAAATATTTATTTATTCAGTTTCTACTGCCACCCATCTCACCTGTGACTCTGAGGAGGTCTACAAAAATAAAATAATAATAATTAGAAATAAAAATAAAGTAAAAGCCATTAGAACCATTTTTGAAATCCTGAAAATAACCCAAGTTTAGCTTCATGGAAAATGTGATATTATATGTGTGAAGCAATCTGGATATCCAAAAGAATACTATAAATTTCCTTTTTTTTTCTTTTTTAGAAATTCAAACCATTATTTATGCTGCTTTCTTTTCAGAAGCAAAAAATCCCAATATTAGATATCCACCTGTGATCTCAATAAGGATTTGTTTTATTTTACTAAATAAATTCAGTTAATAATAATAATAATAAAGTTGGAAGGGACCTTGGAGGTCATCTAATCCAATCCCCTGCTCAGGCAGGAAACCCTATACCATTCCAGACAAATGGCTGTCCAATCTCTTCTTAAAAACATCCAGTGTTGGAGCATTCACCACTTCTGGAGGCAGGTTGTTCCACTGGTTAATTGTTCTAACTGTCAGGAAGTTTCTTTAGTTCTAGGTTGCTTCTCTCCTTGATTAGTTTCCATCCGTTGCTTCTTGTCCTGCCTTCCGGTGCTTTGGAGAATAGTTCTAGGTTGCTTTCATAAATTAGTAATTAATATATTTCTACTTATGGTTTCAATAAAGGTAGCAATAGTAATATAACATAGCATAAGGCAAGGATTTATTTTATTTCAGCATAAAAATTGTTTTTAATGTGATTACTAGCCTTGAGAAATGAACACTGTATATATTTGTGGATAAGCCCATCAATGGAATAGCTAACCCTTACATTTTTAACCTTGAAAAATCAACAAGGCTAATCTGTGGGAGGTGTGTTTTTCATATTTGGTTAAAAATTTGAAGATCGGTTGATACTCACCTATTGGGACTGTTTTGACAGATAAACTTCTAAGCTTTTCCATGAATATATATCATAATATTAGGGCAATTGATAATGACATCAGTTTTAACAGAATTCTGTCTGTTGACACATTTTGCTTTTTAACTGTGTTTTTTATTTTTTCAATCCTTTTAGAATATCTTCTTTAGATTCAAGGGAACATGATTTAATGTAAAAACCATAACACTGATGCTATTCAGCAAATATTTACATAAGAGTTTTTTCAAACTCTTGTCTCTGTGTGTTTATGCAAAGACATAACAGATCAGTTTTATTATGTTTTATTATGACGAATAAAGAATACAGCTGAATTTTGCCCAATAGACAGTGTATGTTTTATTTAGATGCAATATTTTATCAGACAGAAATCCCTTTTATCCCTTTAAAAAAATAATATTTGTCCAAGTGTAAAAATCAGGGTTTACAAATATCTCAAAATTAATTGTAATCATTTGTAGATGATCTTGTTACAGAACATACACAAAAAGGCAAATCCACTTCAGCATATAATAAATACTCTTATTTCCTGTGTAGTCAGTTCTACGGAGGTTGTAGTAAGGTCTGACAAAACCAATAAATTTTAGAGCTAACTTGGTAGGCAAATAGCTGGCACTAACATTTTCCTTCTGATGTGCATTCTGTGTACCTGCTTACTCTCTTGTAATCCTTTCTTCTCCATTGAACATAAATGCAAGCATTAATTTCCTTCTTGCTTAATTTTTCTAGTCTTGTGGGTGAGAATTCCCAAGGGCAGGAAAATGGGGTAGGGAGAAAGCAGTTGTGGTCACTTGGTGACCGTGTTACTTAGTGACCAGGTTGTGGTCACTAAAACAAGCACTACTTGAAGTTCCAGATCTCTGTCCCGAGGATGTCAATGGGGTGAGAAAGCTAAGCCTATTGATCTCCAAGTCACTTTGAATGTAACTGAAATTGATGCAAGTTAGGGGTTTGTTTGTATACTTATTTTTAGATGCTATATCTCTGTACCCCGTTCATGATTCATGATAGAGTTCATGATTCAGGCTCTGTAATGAGAATTCTAGGCTTTGTAGCTCCCCTTCAATTACCCAGACAAAATGGGAAAAAATTGAAATTGTAAAGCGCTTTTGTCAAAGTTCCAGGTAACTGGATGTTTTTCATCTTTTCCCCTCCTTTTGCAAGCTGTTAGGTGGAGCATTTCTGAAGTGGCAAAACTGAAGATGATCAACAATTCCTCTCAGACTGATTCTGAGGGTTTGAGATGTGTAACAACAATGACAGGGTAGAAGTGCCTCAATTCTGTACAATATGTTACACAATCAAGGCAGTTCATTATAGGAAAGTGTACAGAGTTGCACTTCAATCTGCACCATACTCAGTTACATTCAAACCATTCTGAGTAATAGCATTGGCCCTAGGCTGGTCTTTACGTTCAACAGATTCCAGAAGGATTACAGGTAATCTTCAATTTACAACCGCTCATTTAGCATTTAGCTCATTTAGTTACAATGACACCAAAAAAAGTGTCCTACAACCTTTTTTTTACACTTACAACTGTTGCAGCCTCCCCATGGTCACATGATCAAAATTCAGACACTTGGCAACTGACTCATATTTATGACAATCGCAGTGTCCTGGGTTCATTTGATCATCTTTTGCAACCTTCTGACAAGCAAAGTCAATGGGGAAGGCAGTTTTACTTAAGAACCATGTTACTAACTTAACAACTGCAATGATTCTCTTAGCAACTATGACAAGAAATATCGTAAAAATGGGTAAAACTCACTTAACAGATGTCTCACTTAGCAACAGAAATTTTGGGCTCAATTGTGGTCGTAAGTCAAGGACCACCTGTATTTCTGAGACATCACAAAAATAAACCTTTCCAAGTATAGGCATGGCAACACCACAGTTTGGCATCCTACATCTGCCTTTTTCCCAACAAATAAAAAAATTGTACCCCATTTTAGCAAATGTCAGCATCACCTTTGCAACCTTGTCCTCCATTTATGTATGTATGTATGATCGAGACATTGTAAAATAAATAGATTTAGAGCAAGGCACAAAGCTTCTTTCAGATCAAGAACTTTTGACCGTGGTGTTAGAACCGCAGTGCAGTGCAAGAAATAAATTAGGATTCAGAAATGCTTCAGATGAAAGTGCAAGATGAATACTAAATATGATTTCACATTATTTATTGATTTAAATTAATTTAAATTTAACTAATGCAAGCATTTTGCAAGTATTGAATAATGTCCTCCTTATGTCACATTAAGAATTGCAGAGAGGTGGCCCAAACTCACAGCCAGGTCTTTGGGAAAACGCATGTGACCCTGGAACCAAAGATTGTTTTTCTTGCCAAACCCTCACCAAACCCACATAATAATCTGAAGCAATACAATATCTCTGGACAAAATTAAAATTTGGATGCAAACGTCTCATACACTCATACTGTTTCCAAATGAACTTTCACTATCTTGTTAAATAGTTCCTGAATAGCAGTTAACAAGTTTAACAGTGGTATATTGGGAACAAAACTATTATTCTTCCTAAAAGTTAAGAACAAACATTATTTATGCCAAAAGCAACACTGATATCAATTGAGCAAACTCCTGGTAAAAGTCACTGACAAATCTACTCTTCCTTTCCTCACCTGGTCCCACCCATGTCTGATATCTTTTTATTCCTTTGGCAATAGTGGATAAGGTGCTGCCCCAGAAACCAGGAAACTCTGAGGTCTAGTCTCATTTTAGGAATGAAAGACGGCAAGGTGGCTTTGGGATGGTCATCCTTCCTCAGCTCACCTCACCTCACCACATTGGTTTTGTGGGGAAAAGAGGAAAAGAAAGGAGTTTTAGGTATGTTTGTCAACATGAGTTATTTATAAAATAATAAAGGTGGGATGAAAATCTAAGACATGAATAATGTTTTGAGATGCTTACCTTCAGATGTAAAAAATGGAGTTGGGGTTGGCATTTCTGTATTGCCTGTCATCAGAAAAAAAGACATTTCAGGGAAACTACTTTGTCAATTTGTAAAGGATAGAATTAATGAACAGTATCACGACTGTGGTTCCCCTGACTGATTATGGATTTAAGAAAGATCAACCCCCTCTCCTTTTTAACCAGGAGTAATTAAAGAGCCTTGCCTGTTTGTAGTAATTCAGCATCTTTTAACAAAGAGGCCAAAAAATGTTGATTCTTTAATTTTATTGCTGCATAAAGTACAATATGTCACATATGATTTTTATGAAAATCTGGACATTCAGTTATAAGAAATACTTGTGTGTTCATCTCCCACTGATGCTTATTTTGGTTATGATCCATGGGATTAATTAGCTTCATAATTTATGCTCAGATTAAAAGGACTATAAAATACTAATCAATACAGAGAGATGGCATCACAAGTTCCTTGATCTGTTGCTTAAGCCACTGCATTCCATTTGTAAATAACAAATAAGTTGTCATTTATAGTCAATTAGAAAAACTGTAATAGCCCACTTTGAGATGACATGGATTGTTTCATCTTGATTAGATGGCTAATGTTTGTACACTTACTATTTATAAACTCTCAGTTTAGGAAAGAGTTGCATATATGTTACTTAACAAACATTCATCAAATAGAGACGAGCATTTAGCTCAAGTTTGATCTCAAAAAATTAAACAGGGCTTGATTTATTTAATATTTGTATGCAAGGCCACAGGAAATTCCAGGGTTTTAGGTTAGATTGGGACATTTTAAAATATATGCTCCAAAAAAGGCAATAGTAAACGCCTTCATCAGGCCAACATGTTAATTTAGTTATACAAGGAGCTGAATTTAATCTGAAGAAGCCTTTACTTTTTCTTAGAGAACATCGTTTTCCTAGCTAATAATGATAAGAATAAGATTCACTAATTCCATTAATACTGCATTTCAGATAAACCCTATATATATTGTAGTCCTGTTTCTTCAACTTTTGAATTGGTACTATTGATTCAGATTACTTGACCAAATGAAATCAGTTTGTACAACTTTTTAGTTGAGATATCTGACTTGGCTTCATTTCTAAAGATCTACATCGTATATAAATATACAGAGAGATGTTACCTGAGCAAATAACACCGACATCCTCATTGTGTCCACAGTCATGATTGAACCACCCGGCGTGAGCACAATCCCAGATAGTGGGTTCACTTCCTGTGCATGTTACATCATCCAGACTGATGGGCTCTGATCCTTGGCCAAAGTATGCCCACCCTAACACCTTAGTTGCATTTCCACATGCAAGTTGTCTACACACTATTTGTGCATTGGTTGGATTAAAGTAGTCATCGCAAACAGTTCCCCAAATTCCTTTATAATAAACCTCTAGTCTTCCGGCACATCTGTTGCTTCCATTTACTAAGCGTAGATCCTGTGCCCCTTTCAAAAATACAAATGATATTATTGTAAGTGGTTGTGGTAAAATAAAATTAGATCAGCTCAAAGCTGTTCTGAATTTTTTTTTTTTTAAAAAATCCCCACAATGCTGTAATATATTCTGCAAAATAATAAGCTTAGGTCAACGTGGTAGATGACGGATTCGTAGTAGTTTTATTATGCCTTAATTCCTGAGTGGATTTATTTCATTCATATAAATCACTGAAAAGGATTCTCTGAGAACAGTTTTGTTGACTCTTCTTAATGAATGATTGCTAGCACCATCCAAAGACAAGTTGTCCAGCTATTTCATTATTCTCATGAAAACCATCTTTGGATTAACACAAAAGTGTTAAAATATGTACACACTGGGCTTGTACTTTTTGTAGATTTGTACATTGATTCTTTTGCTTCTGTGCATCCAAATTAATAGAATCAAGAGCTACATTAATCCAAGCATAGCTGGTACATGTTTTACAGTATTGCTGAGTGTTTTCTGAACACCGTAAGCAAAGCAGTCCACAATTTCTCAGTTTACTGACATTTAGCATTCACCTATCTCCTTCTCAGATCCAAGAAAGTGTATAATATATAACATATAACATAACATATAATAATATATACACAATACCTGATTCTTGTAGAAACGCAGCATGTATTAGCAGCATCCAAGGGAAAATATGGGTGCCCATATTTCAAGATGTATTTTGCTAATCTAAAGAAACAGGAAACTTGAGAATTTATAAATGTTCCAATCCAAACAGGAAAAAATTTAGTATGCAATTTGATCTTTCATCTTCATCTCCTAAGTCTGTATCAAGGAAGTTAATAATATTTTCATTTCACAATATTTATTCCAGGGAACACAGAGCCACTACTTAGGAGAAGTGAGGAGGAGGCTAAGTTTCCAATATTATGGAAAAGCTTGGTAATCACATACAATAACATCTAATGCAATTGCTCCAGGAAATGTTCACTTTTAAAGTTAATGACAAAGTTTATGTATATCCAAGCTATCCAAGTATATACATTCATTGACTGTTTGAACATATGATGGCACTGAATGACTGGTTTTTATGACCTATCCTTGTATTTGTGTCAATCACAGGTCCCTGCAAGTGTGACTGTTTAAATATTTTCTTCAGAAAGGAACAAACAAATTGTGTGGTTTGTGGTTTTGTTTTTTGTGGTTTGTGCTTTGTTTTCTCTAAGGATAAAGCCAGACGCAATTGTCATATTCTTTAGGATTGTATAGTTTCTAATCTCAAAGTAATAGGAAAAACAAATTTTGGTGCTAATCACTCAGCTGCAAAAGGGTTCAGTGTTTGTGTGTAATCTACAGTGTATATTACTCATCCCCGTTTTAAACCATAATATGCTTAATTATAAATATGTAGCACTGGATCATTTTGCTCAGTAAATAAATAAAGTAAAATGTTTTTGACTCACTTGTTTAATTGCATAACCAAGGGCTTGTGTGGAAAAGAAATTACATTTTAGGTAATAATTTTGCAAAAGCTCTTGAAACATTTGACAGGATTCACAATTTTTTAAGCTGTAAGCATTCTGAAGAATGCTTACAAGTACTCAACATACAACAGTTCACTTACAACAGCACTGAAAAAAGTGACTTACGAGCATTTTTCACACTTAAGACCATGATCCCATGATCAAAATTCAGAGGCTTGGCAACTGACTCATATTTATGATGGTTGCAGTGTCCGAAGGCCATATAATCACCTTTTGCTGCCTTTTGACAAGCAAAGTCAATGAGAAAGTCAGATTCGCTTAACAGATGTGTTACCAACTTAACAACTGTAGTGATTCACTTAACAACTGTGGCAAGAAAGGTCATAAAATGAGGCAAATTCACTTAACAAATGTTTAACTTGGCAAAAGAAATGTTGGGGTCAACTGTGGTTGTAATTCAAGGACTACCTGCATTTAGGCATTTGCTAAAAGTTAACACTGACTTGATGGTACATAATCAATCAAATCAAAATAAACCTCAGTGAAAAGACTGACAGCCTGCTTAGAATACACACAAATGACAATCTTGGGATGGTGGAGTTCCATTTACTAAACTTCCATATGCATTACTGTTATATATGGAATGACTTTCTGATATAAAGATCAGAGAAGAGCAAGATATGAAATTCCACGTAGAATTTATCTTGTACTTCCTAAAATCACATGGCCAAATTAAACAAGTGTTATCCATCCAATGAGTTCCTTTTCTGAAAAGTTAGTGGCACACATAGAGAAAATTGAATTACCTCTGGAAAGTGGGAAGTGAAAGACTTTCAGCCTACTGTTCTTAGAAACTCTATAGCAGCAATTTATTTTAAAACTCTCTCGACTAATTTTTATGTGAGGAAGGATTTCTTCAATTGGAGAGACAAAGTCAAACCTACCTTCTATGTGAACTGCGGATTTGATGAAATTCACCTTTCACTTCTATATTAGATTTGATTGGAAACAGTTTTGATTCTTAACTGCACAACTTAAAATGAAGGTCAGCAATAGTAAGCATGCTTTTCTAAGTTGATGAACTACAACTCCCAGCAGCCCTTTCAATGAGCTTCCCAGGACCTTCTGGGAATTGTCATTCAGTGGCACCTAAAGGGCCATGTTTGACCTTAAAATTTATTAATTCAGTCGCAATATGCATGGAGGAGTACTGTTCACTAGGAACAGATACACCTATTTTTGAAAATTATATGGCCATCCTACTATTCTGAATTTCATTTGCAATATGTTCTCATGTTTTCCTTAGATCAAAATAAACAAAACACTGATATGATACACATTCCCAGATGTTTTAGATTTGAGAACTAAGAACTAAATCCTCTTCATTTCTCTCTTTTGCTATAACTCTTTAGCATATAAATATATAGACCATGATGTGCTACATTCCAATAACTGTAGTGTCAACTTATTTTAAAGAAAGTTGCAACCATAATGAATAGCAAATTTTGGCTTCTTGCACAGGCAGTAAGTTTTGTAAAAGAACAAACGTGTGTAAGCCACTAATCTGAGATACATGATTTTAAAATGCAAAAATAGAGAAATGTTCACTGAGAGTGACCTTTGTGGATTTGGCATGCTCATCAAGTTGTTTATTGTAACAACACCCAGTTTAAAAAATCTCCATCTATCTTCTAAGTAAAACAAAGAGCCTATGTAAAAGTTGAAGGTCATGTCTATATCTATGACAGGTAAAATGAAACTTCTGGGAATTAGGTGTTCTTTTCTTCAGTGCTTTCTTTCTTTCCGCATTTCAATTAAATACAAGAGGTATTTCCTTTTCTCTTTCTGTTTGGGTTATCATCACAAGTTGAACAAATTAAATATATGACAAGCTGAATGATCATCCTATGTAACCCTAATTAACACAGGAGGGTGACTAGCAACATAAGCTGTGCATTATTAAAATTATTGTAGCTAATAAAGAATCATTTTCTTAAAAAAATCTCAGTAATATTCTATTAGTTCTAGCTTATTAGTTAATGTCAGAAGAATAATTTGGTGTTCCAACTTGAGCTGGGGTTGTGGAAAAATAAAAATGAGATCCAGACAGCTGTGAAGAAAGGAGAAATATTCCTAAAAGCAAATTTGCTTTTAGGGGCAGCTGCAGAAAAATGGAGTACAGCGGCAGATTTATATAAGGGGGGCTTATCTAGAGCAGTGGTTCTCAACCTGTGGGTCGGGACCCCATTTGGGGTCGAACAACCATTTCACGGGGGTCGCCAAACAAGGCTGTCCGCCATTTTTTCCCCCTTTTCTTTGGCCACACCCCTGGCACCTGGTGATGTATAAGTGGTTGGGGGTCACCACAACATGGGGAACTGTATTATGGGGTCGCGGCATTAGAAAGGTTGAGAACCACTGATCTAGAGTGTGGAAGTGTCTACATGCTTATTCTAGAGCTGTGGTGGCGAACCTATGGTACGCGTGCCACAGGTGGCACGCAGAGCCCTCTCTGTGGGCATGTGTGCCGTCACCTCAGTTCTAAGCCTTCAACTGGGTTTTATAAAACCTTTTTGCTTTAGGCCTTCGTCGTCATGTGCAAAAAAAAAAAAGGTTCAATCAATCAATCAATTTCAACTTCTTGCTGTAAAAAAAAGATCTCACAAAGTTGGAATTGATTAATTGAACTTTTTAATTCCACCCAGTCTGCCGTTACCACTGCAGCCACGCCCACCCAATGCACCACACTCCCCTGGCACACGACAATACATAAGTGGGTTTTGGGTTGCAGTTTGGGCACTCAGTCTCTAAAAGGTTTGCCATCACTGTTCTAGAGTGACATTTGAGGTGTGTGTGTGTGTGTGTGTGTGTGTGTGTGTGTGTAGGTATGTATTCTTGTGAACATACAGTTTCACTGGGAGACCTAATTTAATTAACTCTATTTTGTTGGCAGATCTTATATGGATATATGGATTAAGTCTAGGTAACTTCCCCCTGAGATTCGAACTACTCCCACCTTGCCAGCCTTTAAGAAAGCCACTAAAACGCTCCTGTTCCGGCAGGCCTGGGGTTGATGTCCCCGGGGGGGGGGCGGGATACGATTGGACATGCTGTATGAATGCACTTATTTTATTGTTTTATTGTTATATTTATTGTTTTAATTTTGTATGCCACCCTGAGTCCCTAGGGATTGGGCGGCATGTAAATTTTATTAATAAATAAATAAATAAATTTGGAAGTTTGAGGAAGTTAGGGTAAAGGATTCCCCCTGTTTGCTATTTTTCCTTGATTAATTTAGTTTCAGTTTGACCGTCAATTATCTAGTGTTCTCAGACTATTGTGATTCTGTTAATGTTTTAAGGCAGAGGTCTCCAACCTTTTGGGCACCAGAGATCATTCCATGGAGATAGGTTTTTACACGGACCAGAGGATGCATGGTTTTGGGTGCTGTCTGCATCCCCCGGATGGGTCTTTGCTTGTTTGTGCAGACTGGTTGCTGGCATGCCGTGGTCCGGTACTGGTCCACAGACTAG